GCGGAAAGAAGTGCGAGGCAGACAGACGCGTCCCCACGAGTCAGACGAGGGCTCCCATTATTTTCGGTCGCCGACGGACGAAGGCGAGAAAACGCTCCCAGCCGACAAAACCCCACCGGGATCGAGCGGACTCGACAAGGAAATCGGGAGAATTCCCAATTGCCCAACGCGATGCGAGCAAGGCCGACAAGCGAGAGCCATTTGAGCGGAAAACGAGATCCATGTCCTCCTCGTGCTTGTCGAGGGGGGCGGGGGGGGCAGGGGGGGGGGCAGTGGGGGCAGGGGGGGCAGTGGGGGCAGTGGGGGCAGGGGGGGGGGGGACTGCTGGTGACTAAACCTATTGGGTTCGTCGTTAATATTTTCTTTGCTAGAGATTTTTTTTCAGTGGATGTGTCACGAAGGTTCGAAAAACTGTTTGCTCGTGAAATCACGGGAGATGCGGAGGACTTAACATTTTTTTTTTAAGTCGGCATTTTCACGAAATGAAAATTCAAAGTTTTATTTGAGAAATTCGCATTTCTTTGCGTCTCGCTGAGGCGAGGCGAGAGTCGACGGAAGTCGCCCTGCCGAGAGTGCGAAAACTTGGTTTTCCGCAAAAAAATTTTAAGACTTTCCCACTGCAAATATTTAATTCTACACTGCACGGTGTGCCATTACAATGGAAAAACCAAAACAAAAGGATAATTTGTGATTTATTTTTCTCATCGACCACATGGAAAAATATGATCGTGAAAAATGTTTTTGGTACATAAAAAAAAATAATGCATTGTGGGGTTAACTCGCATAAGGATTAGCAACGGATGATCCCTCTGGTTCTCCACATCACAAATATTATTTATGAATTCGCTTAAAAAGAAAAAAAAAAAAACAAATCACTCGAGACACGAAAGTAGTCGAAATTTTAGACTGCGATTTTGAGTTGAGAAAAACGAAACCGCTCTTTAACGAAAGGAGGCCCACCGCTGGATGGAGGCCCACATCTTCGCATTCTCCCTTTCTTGACGAATTGCCAAAAAAAAAAGGTACAAAAATTTTGTCACATTTTTTTTTTGATCCAAAGATGAAACATGACCAGAAACTTATTTCATATTGCTTCATATCTAAGTAACTATTGAGCGTTTGCGCAGTAACAGAGAACGAAAAAAAAATAAGAATCGAATCACGGATTCTTCATTCCAAGCAATTCTTTAAGCCAGAATCCTTTTCATTTCTTCATTTATTCATTGCCTCATTTATTTGCTTGGAGTCAGAAGGTTCCATTCGTCAAGTTTTCTTTATTATACCATGCTCAATGCAATATGTTGTAAATATATTGAATATATTTACAACATATTGAATTGCGACGTCATGGGGTTCCATGAGTTTATCATCCGTCGACTCAAATAAAATTAATTAATCCCCTGGGGGGATTAATTAACAGTTTTATGGCCCAAAAAATAATTTCCGGAAATTATTGGATATTCGCGTGCCGGAATTTCGCTTTAAAAAAAAATTCATACGTTACAGACGAATTAAAAAAAAAAGTGAGGGAAAAAATCTAAGGCAGAATCTCGGAACTCGAAAGGAAAAAACTTAGGGGAAAAAAAATTGGCGGTGTAACAGAGCTGTGCAATTTTCGATTTTTTTTTCGCAATTCACAGACAAAACCTCTCAAAACCAGGCGATCAGGTTAACTTTGATTGTTATTGCGTGATGGCAACTGTAATGGAGAAAGTTCCACGTAGCGAGGAGCATTAGTATTGCTCTCGGTGATGTGGCTGCGGATTGCGATATTACTTTTCGGCTTCACGTTGCCATGATTACTCTTGGATGCATGCATGGCTGGATTACGGATGGATTACGGATGGATTACAGATGGAATCCGAAACGTGGAATTACCATGAGCCATTCCGCGAATTGTTGGGCCTGCACGGGACGGGCTCGATCGAAGGGAAAATGGAACGGTTTCAGAGCGACCTTTCCCAGCCGTTAGAACCGCGGAAGGGAGAGGGCATCATGTGGTATGCATCATGTGGCATGCATCATGTGGCTTGATGGCATGTTGCTCAATGGCATGTTGGCAACACTTCGTGATTCCCCCTGACGCACCCGTTGTCCCCGGCCTTTTATTCCCGGAAAACTAAGACCAGCGAATAAGAAACGCTCCAGGTATTGACTTAGTCACGAGCAAAAAAGCACCCATGTCCCTTTCGCTGGACGTTAACTCTATTAAATAGCAACGTAACCGATCGGTTACCGCACAGTATCGAGCAATATCTGCATCACGAAGCATTTTCGTCGCGTTATCGATACCGACCCACGGGATTGGCGATATCGGTTCCCTTAAAACTCGTTACGAGACGGGGCTCAAGCCCTTCGACTTCGTTGGTTGCAATTCGAACAGGGAAAATGAATTAGATGTTTACTGAAGGCCAGACTATGATGACTTTCAAGAGCTTAATGGTTCGTAATGGTTGCATTCCATTACCGGGATATGAGGTTAGTTTAACCGTGTGGGTTAACTTTATCCTAGTCTCTTGGAAAGTTACTGTCAAATATTAATATCAATTCATTTATTAGAATGATATTACGGCAGTGCATTTCTGGTTGGTGATTGGTCAAATGTATGCTAGCAAAAGTTTTAGCCCGAGTTGATATCTTCCCCTGATTGACTGTGGGAAATAACTTTCACCTCTTGCTCTTAATGACATAAGCTTTTCACTTTTAGCAGTAATTTTACTTATGAATGGCCCACTAATTCCCTCCCCTTAGATATTATGGGCATCATCATTGTCACCTTGAGTTTGATATTTTTTTAAATCACAGATGATATTTTTTCCTTGCTTCCATCTATGAGATATAATCACCTTCAAGAGGAAAATGATATCAGCCAGCAGTAACTTTTTATAACTTCATAACTTTTCAGCTGTAACATCAAAGATGTCACTCTGTATAAGCGTGTGGGCCTGGAGACAGCGACCATAATATATGAGGGGGAGGAGTTACTTCCTCCCCTCCACCTCCGAGAGACTTCCCCCTAACCTGGACTGGGGAATTGAGATCTTCGGCCTTCAATAGAATGAGGTCTCTCTGACTTGCTAGTTTAGTGTGTATAGAGGTGTGGATGTATCATAGTCCGCCCTTCTCTCTTGCCACCAGGGCGGACCCTTTTTCTGATCAGTGGTCTCGTATAATTTTTGCTCCTGTTGTTGAGTCTTCTGGTATTTTTTTTACAGATCCCATCGGCACTATAACAATAGGAGTCAGATTACAGCTAGCATCACACACATACATCAGGAAAGCTTACATGCACCTTAGTAACCAGAAGGCTGAAAAATGAGTTGGCAAGAAGCAAGAAGAGCTGCTACAGATTTAAAAGTTATCGAGAGGAAGAATAATAGCCACTAAAGGTGACAGGAAAAAGGTGAAGTGAGAATCATGTATGACTTCTGGAAGTTTGATGGCAGCCAGGAGTTTGATGCATAGGGCAAGACCACTGTGACCTTTCTACAGTTATTGGCTTCCAAAGTTGAACGATGGTGCTCCAATATATAATTATAAATGTCCAAAACATCAACATTTCTCAAATGTAGCAAAAGACCATTGCATTGATGTTGCAGATTATTAGATATTCAATACATAAACATTGCAGCAACGTTCCAGGACTTTTCAACCTAAGTTTCCGTAAAGTCGATGTGTAAACACATCCACTGTGTAAACATCCAGAATGTCAGAATTGCTTAAATGTAGTAAAAGAACAAGACATAATGGCACAGATAAACATAAAAGCAACATTTATTAAGCCACTATCAAAAAATGCAAATATCACCTGATGTGCAAAATATCACACAAATCCCAAAAAGTGAATCACAGACACTCGTGTATATTCACAGAAAATAATCCAATGCAAGCCTTGAGCATTCTCATCACTGGCATTTTTTTCTGACAGTCACACCGATAAAACTAAATAATATAATGCACTGTCTCCCAAAGAGATAGGACAAAATCAGCATTCAAGGATGGAGCTAACCATAATGAAAGTCACACAGTAACTGCATGTCATCCTTCAATGTATTCTTTACCCATGAAACTTCTATTGCCAAGTCAACCACTAACTGATTATAGGATTCATCTCAATGGGATACAATATCAATAATAAAAAGTTTTTTGTCAATATGAAAGACATGACTGCCTTCTTAAAGTTTTGATTGCCAACATTTGAAGTGATCTCAAAAGTAAATTCTCAATGCAATAACTACTCAAAGGCTGCTGGGCACTTTCATATGTAAAGCCAAGTAATTTCCTGCTTGCCTGGCAGTAGGCAGTGCAGGACTCCAGTGGCTTCAGTGCTCATATAGCATGTCTTAATTTCAAAATCTATTTTCATAAAATCAGGAGTAAAAGTGGAATAAAAAATTAAGAGATCCACAGAAGTTTTTTAAATAGGTATAGTGCTGCTTCAATAAAATAAACTTCAAAGTTGAGAATCAAACTGTAAGCAAAAGCAGTTAAATGATATTTTAGTTTTCTACTGCAGGCTTTATCCAGTAGCCTCATGCCAGCAGGCAACTCCCCGAGTTTTCCCTAGAGAAAAATCCCTAGGGGATTTTAATCTTACTGCACCATGGGTGCTATATTTTACATCCAGTGACAACTTGAAAAAGTTTGTGAAATTTTTGCTGCAGAATGTGTAATTCTGGATACACTACACTTATTGGAATAATGTTTACTGCAATGCCATTGTGCTGTCCAGACTACTTAACCATAAGATGCATCATGAAGCATATTGCATAAATGAATAAGGTTATTAAAATAATATGCTTAAAATAATCAACTTTTCTCAAAATCGGAGTGCAATTTTTAGATAGCTTTGAAAAACCTACTTGCTTTCATTTTCCAAAAAAAATGCAAGAGAAACACATCATGGTAGTTTTGGTTAATGGAATGCTCAGTATAATGGAATAAAGGATACTGATCAAGGGAGCGTTCCAATGAGTGGAGTTGGCTGCACATCAGAGAATTGCCACATTTCAAAGTTTCACCAAAAAGTTGCATTAGAATGTTGCTGTCAATGTCAACAGTATCAACTTTCTATCAATATTGAAAGCAGATGTCACAATAACATTGGTAAAAGTGTCTCAGCAACATTCCAAGAGCTCAAAAGTGGAAATTTGTCTTTAAATTTAAAACAATGTTGGGTCAATGTTGTTCATCATCTTGCAACATAAAGTAATATTGGCAATATGCAGGAAACATTCCATCGACATACTGCGTTAGTGGGCCAACCACATTCACATTCCAGTTGGTGAACATATATTACAGTATATCCCCTCCTTTCTCTGGGCTCATAAAATTCCAACTTCACTCTCTTGTCCTCCTCAGTGGGAGTCGGTCTGCGAGGTTGTTCCCAAACTCGAGCCCTGCAGACACAAAAGAGAAGTCATCAGGATCTCCCATATATTGAAGAATAAAGAAAAATAAAGAAACACAAAAAGAAAAACAAATAAAAATAAAGATACAGGAACAAGAGGTGAAACCTTTCTCGAGCTTGAGGAGGCAGAGTCTCATGGCAACGGTGGCATCCTCTTGGGGATTATGGCCCTCCTCATTCTTCTGGATCTCCTCCCCAAAGAAATACTGGGCCAGCTCAGCAAGGGAGTCCTTCTTCTTTTGTGATATATGAAATATCACACTGGTATCGATCACGTAAGGATGGAAGATCTACAAAGCAAAGGATTTGGCTCAGAGAAAAGAGGAGCTTCAAAGTCACATGATACAGGATTTAGTTTTAGAAATATATTGAACAGGCATCCTTCATGGAAAGGTAGTTTTTTTTTTCCCACATCCTCAGCAGTACTTTCAATCTCCTATATAAACCAGAGAGCAACTTCTGCAACGTGAATGAAGAAAGCTGAGAAAATGCAAGGAAGAGAAAAAACAGTTTGTTTGCAGGAAATCTATGACTGTATGTGCAGTTTCCCTAAAAACCATTTATCATCCCAAAGTTTCTCCTAGTGGCTTCCCTAACTCATTGCACTCTGAAGGGTTTAACACGGGAATTATTAATATTTCTAAAGATTCTGCATGAAGTACAGGATGATTACAATGTTGACCGGGTTGGGGTTATTGAGTAATAGCAACTCATGTGGGTTTGAAAAGTTTTTTTGTTAAAGCTTTATTGGGTATAATTGATCGATTATTCCTTTTGATAAAAAAAATATGACAAGGATGGAAGACTTCAAGAAAATCTCTAAAAAAAATTCTCTTCCCATTGCATATTCTTAGACCACATGCTTGCAGTTAATTGACCATCAGGATGCAAATAAATTTGCTGCAATTCCAATCTTGAAGCGATTTCGTCACATTCTCCCGTGAAACACGCAAACGAGCTGCGACCAACCCCAACCCACTCCGATAATATCGAAAGCAACGGAATCGTGTCACGACACGGACCAGTCGGCATCAAGGGACGCGGCAAACGGATAAATAAAAATTGATCTGGTTTATCAGGTGGATCACCGGACTGGTTCTTTGAGTTGTACCTCGCGACCTTGTTTAAGAAACATGCAAAAAATAACGGTTCCCCTCGCATAAATCAGAGCTAACGACCGCACATACACAGTTGCAAACAATTATGAAATCTATGTCCTCATTAGCCATATTCCGAAACGCAATACATATTACATTCGATCCAAGCCCCTGGATCTCGATTCCATTTTTTTAAATTGTGAATCCCATATTTAACTGAAGCTTCTGAAGATTGTCTCCACAAAACTGCTCTGAGGGCATTTAGGTTGTAAGCACCACGAACGAATTTCACCCGGACTCTCACCTTGCCCTTTCCGATGAACTTTGATCGTCCTAAACCAGTCTAAATTTTTTTTTGCGATGCTGCGAGGGGATTCCCTCAAATATTCTTTTTTCTCGAACGCGTCTTGGCCACCCGAGTTGGAAATTCGAGATATTTGAATATCTGAATAAGTTCCATATTTGAATGTCAAAAACCCTGCAATGGGGAGATGACGAAGAGCACAATGCGACCTCTTAATGAAAGCCACTCCATATTATAAGCCTTACACAGAGGGACATGAAGTGGATCGTCAAATCGGCAATGGATCGACCAAGTGGGGCTCGACCCGCGATGCACAGGGATCGTGGAACGAAAATCCATATCGCAACGCGATTCTTTCGCCTTGTGCCGACGCGTTCGTTTCCCCACCCTGCAATTGCTTCTCCCTCGTTGACACTGCGCGAATGATTAATGACACACGTCGTCTGGCACCATCTCTTCAGCCGAAATTGGATACAATCTCGGGAAAAGCGAACAGCCTTCAAGAAACCGACACGTTTCCTCTACAGGAGCAAGATCGGCATCACCGAGGCTGGATGCTAACACCATGGTCTCAAACGCTTAGATATCGCTCGGTGATGCTTCACCTTAAGTCTAAAGAGCTAAGAGCTAAAAGCATAAGGCTAAAAGAGCACCTAAAGAGCTCTTTTCCCCCATTCCTATGGGGGAAAAGAGCTCTTTAGCTTAAAGGCCCCTTTATCTCCGCTAAAAGAGGTTTGTGCATTCGGGCCAAAGCTACCCAAGTTATGTCATTGTTAGTGATTTGGGGGTGGTGGGTCTGGCACTCGATCAAAAGGACCAGAATTAAAACCCTGTTCAGTCAGGATGGCTAATTCCAAATTTCAAATACATACCAGGGTTATTTGCATACCAGTTTGGGTTATTAGGCCCTGAATGCATGCTCTCTGATCTCTAGATGGGTAATTGCAATAGCGATGATGTAGCAGGAAAAATCACAGGAGAAATCACCCCGACCAAATTAAATCCCTCAGTAAATAGGGGGAAAGGTTAAGCCAAGGGAGGGAGGGGGGGGGGGGGGGAGCTAATGCTGGAGAAGAATGGTGAAACTAAAATGCCCGAACACATGTATGATTTGACTTTGTGACTTTGTCAAGTCATACATGTTGTCTGCACTCAACCCAAACTTTGGGTGTCAGAGTTTTGCCATTTAATCATATTATGGATGAAACAGCCACTTGCACCTGGACTAAGTCCTGGAGCCATGTGGATGCTTTTGTCGTGTGTTCACAGTTGAATGCGACATGGAGGAACAAGCCTTTTCTGGGATTTTGACAATCCCCATGTAAAAAAGCAACTGAAAAAAAGGAAAGTCATCAATGCTCCCAGAAAAAGTCACAGAAGTTGTTTTCCTTCATGAATATGAAGGATAACTTTCTTCAAATGTGACCATTTCTATTTGGTGAAATCCCAGTGGTCTTGCCTAATTACACTCACTTGAAGGAAAGTGAGCAGGCTTTTTTTCGTTGCTAAGCCAGTTAAATAAGTGAATGTTCATCGCATAAATAAGTAAAGAATGCCTGTTTAAATGTTCGCCAAAAAAAATAAATAACATTTTCTAAAAGATATTGCTTTTGAGATAGTCTGTAGATATCTCAAAATGGAAAAATAGATATTAATGACTTTTTTTTTTATACAAAATTTCTCTGTTCCCACTAGGGCCATTTTCACAAAACTTTCCCTGCACAAAGATGACTGGGTTTCCAAAACATCTTCAAAACTTCTCAAATTCATCACTCTAAAGCAAGGATCAATGATTAGAAAGACGTGCTAATGAAAACAGACAAGAGCTCATGCTAGCAGGGGAGTTCATGCCTGAATTGATTTCGCAAGGCCAAAATGAACCAATGAAATGAATATTCCAAATATGAAATAAAGCTGACCAAGGTTATGACAGGTGAATCAGTACCAAAACAAAGAGTTTGCTCAAAGTTCATTCTGATTTTACCAAGGTTCCTGCCCTAAACTTTTCCTTAGCCTTTGCAAGATGAAGCAGGAGGATGAGGCTCATGGAAGGGATCAGAATCACCTTCACATTACGTTTTCCATTAATTTCTAACTGTGCCTCAGCAAAGAGGGATCTGGATAAGAATCTATCCATCCACCTTTCCCCTCTGTCTGCATGCCAATGAAGGTGAAAGAATGGGAAAGCTGCACAGCTGAGTGTTATCAAGTTGAGCAGGGCTTTTTGGTTGGTGTGATGGGCTGGCTCTTAGCTTTAATGTCTTGGAATTTATTTCCTTGCTTAGCATTTGCCAGGGGATATTATGTCAAGTGGCAACAAATTGGGAAAAAGTTCACGTCAGGGGTTTTCTGTCGAGAATGTTTTAGTGGGGCATATTCCATCGTGCCAAATATAAATCTATAAATGATGCAAGTTTGTGAAACTATTACCAGTGTGAGCTGAGATACACACACTGAAAGCCATTGGTCTCTTTTCTTAGACCTGTATATCTCAGCTTTAACCTGAGAACTGGAGAACAAAACACTTGCAGAGAGCATAGAATGACATGTTCCCACACACTTTTGAAACTTAATCCAAATTAACCTTTACCGTCTGAATGACGGATCCATCCGCACATATTTTTTTCCTCCACAGCAAAATGACGGATCTATCAACATCGTTCATGAAATATATAGATCATACAGATGAATAAAATTTTATGGATAAATAGTAAAGATCATACAGATAAATAGATGCAAAGAGATGAAACTTTAAACAAGCAGGTTTCCTTGCAATTAAATCCCTGATTTCAATGTCGACCAGAGGGAAAAAACCTAAAATGTTGAATCTGTAAGCTAAAGGTTAATACTGCTAAAGCAAGGTCATGACTGATTATTCAAAAGATATTGGAAATAAAAATGGACAGGGGACTACAATCCTTTCCAAGAGCCTCCAATGAAGAACAAGGGAAAATCTGAATAAACCATGAGCATACTCTGTTTTGATACGGACTCTTCAATTTGTCATCAATTCAAATGAAGAACATCAAAACTATCTGCAATAAAAGGCCAGCTTAAAATATGAATTTCAAAGAAGAGAAGTTGGCTATGGTGTAGATGATATGCAAACAAAACATACAGGCATTGTGTTCCACTACCAGCTCTTGTCCGTTTTCATTATCCAACTTCTGTTTATTCATTGCTTATAGCCTTGGAGCAATGAATTTGGAAAAAACTTTAAAGACATGGAAGAAACATATAGATTCATGCATTTTGTAAGTTTTGTGAAAATAGGTCTGGTGGGTGCAGTGGCATATTGGTTGAAAGTCAGTCTTTTCATTTTCCCCTCCCTTGCACATATTTACAAGGTGTACCAAACAAGCCAAGCATGGGACAACTCTTCATCCATATCAGTGAAAGTTTAACATGCCTTTCATCATCCTGAAGAACAGATTGAAGACAAGACCACCACTGGTCAATAACCCATTCAAAATTGTATCCAGTCATCTGGGAGAGAATATCATACTTTGGGATTACCTTTGCCTGCAGATCCCACTATCTCTGAAAGATGATACTCCCATACACTCTTTCTGAACTGGGAGCCAAAATTGTAGAATCACAAAAGCAAAATTGTGATTCTACAACATCACAAGGATGTGAATCAGGCCAGTTGGTGGTTAGATTTTGGGTCTCTGTGAAGTCTTGTATCTTCCCTGACAACCAATTCTGCTTCCACAAGATGGTGCAGCATTCTGCAATTCTTATGACTGCCAATGTCTTCTAACAGAACATACTAGAATCAATAGAGCCTGAAGAGCAGCCACTGAGAGCAATGGCTGACCCCTTTAGATTTTGGGGAACACTTCAAGAAACAACTCACAGGAAGACTAGCTTCAAGAGTCTGAGGGATCTGCAAATAAATTATGTGAAAGAGTGAGATGTTTCCTTCCTAAGAATTCTAGGCAATGAACCAGTGGTAGTACCATTGGTAGGGATTATTCAATTGCAACATTGAAAAAGTCATGTCATTCATTTTGTCAAAGAATTTGAGTATAGAATTTCATTGTTTTGAAATGATTTGTGGTTCTCTCTTCTTGTATATAAACTGTTGAAAGGCCATGCTTGGTTTTTAAAATTTTTTTGGTTCACCTTGTTTATGATAGTAAAGGTCAACTTCACCTTCAGAACATGAAAATCATAACAGAGGGAATGCCCAACAAGGATAGCATCGTTTGGAAGCAATGCCTTCAGATCCCTTTGAACTTCTTCCAGGGTCATGTCAACATTGGAGAGCATTTCTGCCGTAATTCCACTCTTCTCAGTGCGATAATCCACAATTGGATGCAACGGTTTCACTAGAGTCTTATAAACAATTTCCAAATCCTGGTTTATAACAGCGATATGGGCAAGTTCCTCGTCATTAACATCTGTGCCCACAAACTCACAGTCTATTGCAAACAGTGGGGACTCCTGTTTCACCTTGCAGTACTTGTTACAAGTTACTTTGTAATCACACCATTCTGAAGTTCTTGGAATGGGGAATTTATCTCTGTACATCTCAGAAAGGCTGAGGAGCAGATGCATGGGATGCAACATCTTGCTGGATTCAATTGGAGATGACATGCTGTCCTGCAGTAGGAAGAAGGCCCCATAATGTGGACACAGTCTCCGTCTGCTCATGGCATCCTTACCATTTCTACAACAGCACCCTGCAAGAGAAAAATTTCTTAATAACCTTTTCAGAATTCACTTTATGGTTTTAATTTCAATATCCAGCTATATAGTTGCTGATTTAACTGAATTAATTACTTCAAACAATAATTTATATCAATTCAGATATAAAATTGTATGGTATTGTCTATGAAATTAAGTTTATGAAATTTCCCCCAGAGGGAAAGGGCAAATAAGGACAAATAAAGCCACTGGTTTATAAGTAACATTATTAGCAGGTCATTCCATCCCACAAGAGCTGGATCTTTTTTAAGATGTGGGAGATCATTTCATGGATCTAAATGAAACCTAGGATGCATTTTGCCCCCAATGAGAAAGGAACCTCAGTTAACTGGCACTTGTCCTTGGTTTCTGGGATATATAGGGCATCCCAAAAATACCAAGTATATTTTCAACAACATTTGCTAACACAAGGCAAATACATATAACACTTGGTATTTATTACTCTTTAATTTTCAGTGACATGATGTGTTATGTTAATATCAAGTTTTCATAAAACCCTTGTAAATTACTAAGATGTTCAAAACGTCATCCTTCTCTATTGATACACATTTAGTACTTGTCAGAGACAGATCTGCAAACATAAAATGCAGAAGCAGTTTTATCTGTAAGATCAGGTACATCAACTGGTATAACTTAGAAAACCTAGTCTCTGATGTACCCCCAATGCAAAAAAAATCCATAGGCATAAAGTTCAGGGACCTTGGTGGCCACCCAACAGGTCCCTGCCTATTCATCTAGCATCCTAGGAACATCTCATCAAGGTAGACCCTTACCACATATTGAATGTGAAGTGCCCAATCTTACTGAAAGAACAAGGTCTCAATGTCCATTATCTTAGGAAGGGCAGGAATAACAGATTCTTGTAGGAGGTGCAAAAAAGATTCAGTTTACTAGGTATTATTGGGACACTCTGAAGGATGACAAAATTTTCACCCTTGCAGAAATACTTAAAATATTACAGGGTGTCCATGAAAGATTGGTACAACTTTAATATTTAATAAATCGTGAATAAATGAATGTACATATATATGGTTTGCAGCAAACAAAAGCTTGGAATTTCAAGTTTAATTATATGCATTTCTTATTTGAAAATGTGAAAATTTTCGCATTTAAAACATACATTTAAATAAATATCAGGTCGTCCCATAAGTAATGTCATTTTTTCACATTGCCAAACTTGTGCCTTATATGTGTATCTGTGCACATCCCATGGAATATTTCTATGCTAACTTGCATAGACATTAGTCTTCAGTCTATGAGTTAACAGTGCTCCATTTTTCTTAGACATTAAAAATATGATGGAAGTGTCAGAAGAACACATTAGGCATATAATGCTTTATGAATTTAAGAAAAAGAATAACGTGACTGCAGTCATGAAAAACGTTTAATATGTTTATGGTGAGGAAGCTCTAAATGCGAGGAAATGCTAATGGTGGTTCCAGAAATTTAGGTCTGGTGACTACAGCTTAGTTGATGAAGCGCATTCAGGCCAATCTGTTGGGTTTGATGATGACCTGCTGATAGCCATACTTGAAGAAGATCCTGCTAATGAGTTGATTAAAAAACAGCACTTGAAGTTCATGAGAATGCAGTGAAGCACAAATATTTACCCAATCTTTAAGATTGTCAGGTGACAACACATGCAGAACCCACTTTCCAAGTTTCGACACTTATCCCAGGCATTGTAAGTGGTGATGAACAGCGAAATGGGTCTAATTGAGTTTCTGGGTAAGTTTTTCAACAGTTACAGCAGGATCTTCTTCAATTTTATTTTAAAATTTGAAATGCATGTAATAAAACTTGAAATATTAAGCTGCAAACTGAATATATGCACATTCATATGTTCATGATTTATTAAAGCTTACAGTTGTAGGAATCTTTTACAGACACCCAGTATAAGTCATTCTTAAGGGTTAATACATCAGTGAGGAGAGATTGGGGATAGCTTTCATTTGACACAAGTTTCAAGCTTGCACCTTGTTTGAAACAAGATGCCATCAAAGTTAGTGAAAATAGGTAAAACATGACTGTTGAAAATATTGCAGAAGCTCTTTGTGTTACCATGTTTCAGTGCTCAAAATTTGCTTTTAAATTATGGAATTTTTGACAATTTATTGAAAATTTAAAATTTATTTCATTGTGAATATACCAGAAAATGCATGCAACAATCTCATTCAACATTGTCTCAGCTTTAATTGGTGTCCTAAAACACTTTCCTAGCTCAACTAGGACCTCAGCTAGGAAAGCTAGCTTTGACTGCAAAGGTAACTTTTATTCTTTGAGGTCAACTTTGAGGCTGCATGTCTTGAGAAGTGTTTAAGTTAGAGTGTCAAAATTTTCCTATTTTCCATAATTCTTGAAGGATACTTTCTTTTCTTCAAGCAAATCAGAACCTGAAGTGCAACCACTCCTTGACCACTTGAGCTGGAATTCCTCCTTTAAAGTTTTCTAATTGAAAATCCCAAATAGGAACTTTCCCTACAGTATAATTTCCTCCAACACTAGCTATATAAGGTATGATCTTCCATGACATAGGTCGACCCTGGAAGTTGTGCTACAATTCCCTATATGATGAGTCTATATTATAAAGACTGTCTTGAAATTTTCCTGTTTTAAAGTTCTGCAAGTTTAACTTGTGACATTCTAACATGGGTGTTGCCACAAAGTTCTTAGGTTCCCTCCAAATAATAACCATTAAAAAAAAATGGCTCTACCATCAACCAGTGAATGCTCTGATGTAATGGTGCCCTGAAGACAGATTGATGGGAAGAAACATGAACTCACAGAAATGAAAAAACTTGCCTCATCTATAAAACCACACCCTTTCATTTGCACTCAACATGTCAAATCAACAATAATTCCTTATACCAAAAGTCATACTGAGACATCTTAAACATGTACAAGGACAAGATTTGTTACAAGAACCTCTGCTTCATCCAAGATAACATGACAATGAAACTAGATGGGAGGGCCTGGATCCCTCCTGAAACTTTAATCAAAATCATGAGTGCTTACTTCAATCTTAATGACTTGAGTTCCACAGGTCACTAACTGGTTCCTAAAATCTGCTTCAAGTTTCAGTGGACCCCCCAAAAACCATGTCCAACTTCATGATAGTTGGTATAAATAATAAGGGCTCAGACTGAGGTAATGCTTGACAAGTATATGCAGAATAAAAATCATGCTTTGTAAGGGAAGAAGTTTCTTTTGCATTTCTTAGCAGTATTTATTCTTTGTTATTTTACTTTGAATGGGAACATTAAACCAGGGATTTTCTAAAGCAGTCTAGTAGTAATTTGGGACATATCCCATTTTCAGCACAATGACATTTTACCCAACATGAAAAATGTCTCAGAATAAATATTACATTTAAAAAATTTGGCCATAAAGATGGCCTGTCTCCTCCCAGAAGCAGTTACACTCAATCTGTGTTGTTGCGTTGATGCTGTCAGTGTGTTATCTCTTTCAGCTTTCTGTAGTTTTCTTACTTTGTTGCAGTGTTACTCTCAGGTTCTGCCACCTAGGCTCAGGCTCAGAAACTGTGCTTTAACTTCAGAAAAGATTGGTCATTACTACTCTCTATTGTGAATGCTTAATTAATACATTGTGGCCCCATCATATTGATGCCTTTCATACTACAGGGATATAATTATTCAGGAATGTGCATAAGCATCATTCTGAAATTATCTTTAGTTATTCCTATCCTATAATAGCGAGTTTTGAGTACTTTGAGCAAACAACTTAGGTTGTGCCCATTGTGCTCTATGATCTGAGAAAATGATCAATTCCTTTGAAACATGCTGATTCAAGTTTGATGTTCTCACCTACCAATGTGATAAAACTTCTTGGATTATAGGTAATTTGTGAAGTTAAATTACCTCTGTTTGTGAGACTTCAATGCCAGTCTGATATTAGCAACATTAACCTCTTTGCCATAGAAGTGCACTTTAGAGCATATACCGACAGTGTCATGAGATAATGATAGATTAACCTACTATCCACTTTTATTTTACCATGTTTATGCAAGCTGCTGGTAGAAGGCATCATAATCTATGGTTCTATGAGATTTTGGCTCATTTGGACCAATATTAGAATTTTTATGGTTTTTGGGAAAACTCCCAAACCAGACTAATAGCAGAATAAAAATTTGAATCTGTCATAAATTCTCTATTGTAAATACCTCATATTGTAGCTTTGAAGGTTTGCTATCATATTCAGGCAAACTTATTTGCAAAATTTTAGTACATTATAGGTAGCAATTTGTCAAGTTGAAAATTATGATATTCATAGTGATTGAGTGGCCATATTGAATTTTTACTCAGGTCAGGTGACTCAGTTTGCATAAATTTTGAAATTGTTTTTTGAAGTACATCATTTCCAGAAAGCATATAATTTATTAGGACTCTCCCCACAAATTTTCTGTGGATAGCCAATCAGAAAAATGTGCAATTATGCCTCCAGGAGTACTGCAGTGAGGAGGTTAAAAAAAAAGGAAAGTTTAAGGCCCAAATGCACAAACCTAATTTAGGGGAGATGAAAGGGCCTTTAAGCAAGAGAGCTCTTTTTTTCCCATATGAGTACATGTATTTTTAAATGACTGTTAACTAAAGGAGGTTTCAGCATTTGGGCTTTAGTTTCCAACCAAAATGTCCCCTTGGAATTTATCCTTCATCCAGTGCTTATTAAAAAAAAAACAGTAAAAATTTTTTTCCTAAAGCAAAAAATTTTAAGGTTACCTATTCCTCCACACCAAAAAAGGGCCTTGAGGTTCCCATACCCTGATCATGTAAACTTCCCTGAACTCAGCTTCCTAAAAAATTTGTTTACCTTTCACATTTATACTGTATTTCACATATATCACATCACATTTCTATATTTCTCCTTTCACCAAGGTCAAAAAAACATAGAACAAACAGACCTGCAATAAAATATGCCCCTGGGGAAAATACCCTAAAAGTAGAATGTTTTCTAAAAATAACCTGCCAACCAGATACTTCTGAAGCACTTTTCAGTTTTCTATAGCCGGAGTGAAAAAATTCTCAGAAACTTCCCCACGTAAATAATTGCCAAGGAATGGACCTCAAAAGGAGATTTTTCCTGAACTCTAAACACCAACAGCTACATATGTACTAACTTTCAGGTTTCTATCACATCTAAAACATTGTTAGAACTTGTGTCAGTCATGGACATTTATTAGATAGTAAGTTTATTTCTTCCTGTTCTTTCCTGGAGAGGAATAGTGCCACAACCCCTAATAACAACCAAATTCAATCAAATCTGAAAACATGATTGGGAAACTATGGAAAATAAATACTGACCACATTCATCCAAGATCTCCATGAGTTTGTTTCGCCTTGTTTCAAAGGGGTAGTCTTTCCTGATGTCCCTGTAGAATAATCCCACCATTCCAGCAGCCAAGAAAATATAGTTGCTGAGAAGCAACTGAAATGAGGATTGGGCTTCTATAGGGAATCTAGCTGCAAAAATCAGGGTCTGCCTCTCCCCCTCTTTGGGCATGGTTGGGTGACTGACTATCTTCCTGACTTCAGACATGATGTTTATCTTATCTGGTATCATCTGATTAGCTTCCATAAGAACCAGGGACTTCACCTTCTTGAAACTGACAATACCCCTGTCAACAAAATCCAGGAGTGATTCAGGTGTAGCCACCAAGATGTAGCATCCATTCTGCAAATGACATTTCCAATGATTGAAACTGCTGCACTTCTAGGAATTGCTTGCCATCTGAATAACTCACTTCAATTTTCTTTGTTTGGGAAGCCCCAGAACCAAGAAATGACACCAGGGGCTGATGAAAGGCACCCTCAGACATCGCCAGACATTCCTTGTAGACCTTGGTGGCCATTTCCAGGGTATGGGACAGAATCAAGACATATGGTTCTGGCTGGTCATTAAATGCTACTTCATTTATACCATCAGCCAACAACTTATGTAGTATTGGCAAAACACAAGCAGTCTATAATAAAAAGAGATATTTGTGGTAAATCCATCTCATCCGGATATGCTGCAAAGGAAAATGAGTTGAAGTTATTAACTATTGCTCCAGATCCAGTCTGAGAACAGGCCATGAGATCTCGTCCTGACATCACAATCGGGATGGCATATTTTTGAAATGGAGTGGGTACCTTGTAGTTGGCTCTTCTCATATTACCCAAGAGGGTCTCTTGATTGAATAAAGTTTGAAATGTTTCAATAGGAACTGGTGGATTATTCCCCCTGACCTGAGACAGGAAGGAATACCTTAACATGACAGAAACCCCAAAATACAAATGAAGAATATATTTCAGGAAACAACTCTCACCTTGACAGGAATTTCATATTCCTCAAATTTTATTCCAGGGGAAATGGTCTCAGAGAGATTCTCTATGGGCATTTCAGGCAGGTCTTCCTTGGACTCTGAGTTGTGATGGGTGGAGTGCTGCTTGGTGGCCAATGAGCCTGCAAGAGTTCAAAAGAGAAATCAAATTGGAAGGAAATGGCTCAAATCTTGAAATATTCATAAGGCTGGCAGCAGCTCTATGGCCTTCTGGTTGATTCTGATGGGCTCTTATCAGCAGTATCACTAAGTCTAAGCCTATCAGTTTTATATAAGCATTATAAGCACTTACAAATAAAGGCATAGGCCAAACATGAGATGAACATGAGCATGATGGGCATATATACTCAGAGTTTTACTATTGCTCACAAATATAGTACACTTGACATTAACTTCTTTATGGAAACATTGTGCTTGACACCTTCAAAGCAGTTCCAGAAAAATCTAGACAAAAACAGCTGAAATAAAAATCTTCCCAGAGATTCCTCCACTTAATTTTTCTGCACCTTTGAAACACGATGATTCAGTCTTTTATTTTTTTTTTTTACTCTGAAGTTTTAAGTGAGAGAACACAGTTACAACATTGAATTCTGCAGTCATTTGCAAATGTCACAGACTTTGATTTTTTTTTAAATTATATTTATTTTCTCCAGGATTTTATCTATGCATCACATTTTATCCACTTCACTATTCAGGGTATGTGTAGCTCTTAGGTATTGATAACACTATACCATTTCTATCTTTGTTTCATTCATAATCATGTATAATGAATATATTTTCATGCCATTAGTAATGAAACCAGGGGGAAAAGCATGCATTTACATGATGTGCAGCTTAGTAAAGCTGATGAGATTGTCTCCTCATAACCTCTTAACACCCTGTGTCCAATTCAATGGACATGTGGTTTGCTCTGCTGTGTAGATGTAGATGTATATCATCCATGAATATAGAAATAAATTGTTACAAAAGAAGCTTTTCAAAACAAAAAAATTCCCAGCCTCAGAACCCAACTTCTGAAAAATCTCTGAAGTGGCCCATTGGCAGAATGAGGCATAATATTTAACATTTGAAAGTCCTCCTCAAATGGATCATGCTGATGTAGGCTTCAATTGAGAAGTTTAAGAAAGAAGTGAGTAATTTTAATGCAGAAATGGAATAGTTGTGAGACTGGCAGGCATAGAACAATCGAGTTATTAAATGACATTCATGGACAAGAGTGGGATATTGAGTAGGACAAGCAATGAGACAGGTAAGTAGCATTTAGTCTGTCACAATGCTTCCTACCCCATCTTTCCATTTCTCTCTTGCTGGGGGAATAAGGAATCCTCATAAGCCCTGTTTCCCTGTTATTCATTGTAATGAGAAGCAGGAGGCAAGGTAAGAAATTCAAACCTTTGCCTTCCCAAATCTGCAGTCATGACACTGTATTCTTCGTGGCCTGAGCATCAGTGTCACCAATCAGTAATGATGGCAAACTATGGATGAACAAAGAACTCTGAGACATTTAGCAGGACAGCAGTATACCTCTCCTTCCCAGGGCATTCTACCAAGAATAAGTCCTCCATGTATTTGCAGATATCAAAATTTGTGATTGTTGGTAGTGGTGGGCAAGAGTTGGTTGCGAGCTTGACTCTTGCAACGAGTGATCCAGGTTTGAAACTAATTAAGTCAGGCATAATTTCCAAACGTAATTCCCAGGATGCTTGAGAAGGGACACCTCCACACACATATTATTCCCATCTCTAGACATGAGGCATTAGATAACCCCAGTGAGGAAGGCAGGGCCTGGGTGGTACATCCTGAGAGTAACTCCTTAGGCTGAATTGAGCTGCCAAAGTTCATTTAAGGGTGGAGGGGGAGGATTAGCTGGTGTTCCAGTCAAGGGTTTAATCATGGGCCTTGAGCCTCTTGCACATGGCCCCCCATATCATATTATCATGTGATAATGGAAAAGGAAAAAAAATTAACAAAGAAACCAATTGCTCTATGTCCTTCCTTGAAGTTACCCTTTCTTTGCTTCTCTCAAATTAAAATTCATCAATCTCCACCTGTTTCAGATTGGAAAATTCATTTCCTTTGAATGGTGGCTATTTTATTGGACAAGTCATGAGTGAGAATGGAAGTGCTCACTAGTGTTTGTGTAAGTACATTTTTTTGAGTGAGTGAACAATCTCATGTGACAAACTACACTTGAATGAACAGAATATAGTCATGCTCTTGCTATGCTTGCAGATATGAAATCTTCAATTATGACTATTTCCAAGAAGTATTTGCTTGCTTCAGCATCCTTTCAAACCATTTCTGCACCTAATGCAATTAACATTATTTTTCACTATGCCAGCATTTGTAGAAGTGCATTCACAATGCTTCATGCAATAGGTGTAGCACAGATCATGACATGCAGATTTAGAAAACATACCAGGGCTACATCTTCCAACAAGTGTGTGTTCTCATCTTTCAATGATACATGCCATAAGAGAAACTTCTCTGCAATCCAACATACCTGATTTATTTATAGCAGTCATGATGCAATCCAGCTATTGACCTAAAATCAAACATTCAGTCAAATTGTAGAAAAAATTCAAATGCAGGCATGAAACATGATGTGGTAGTATATAAGGACCAATCAAAAAGATAATAGAATTTTATTTTGTCATGCCACCCATATCTTTGACTTGAAGGCGACACAGTCCTCTTGAATGTTGTCACCCTGAGGGCCTATGCACTCCTTCCAGTGGGTGCAAAGCTGTTTTCTGCATGCTTACAGTCTGTCTTTTAGAGTGTGCAGGTTGCTTGTCATGGGACTCGAGATTGCATCCCTATTGGCATATCTGCACCCCGATCAACAAGTCTCCATCCCTTCAACATGGAACTGAGCCATGAGAAGAGGAGATGGTCACAGAGTGCCAAGCCCAGCAAAAAAAAGATGGTTGGCTGATGGCAGTGATTAAAAGAAACACTGACAAAGTTCCCAAGCAAATGTGATTGCCTGAAAGATCGCATATAACAATGAACATCATTGTGACATCCAACCTTTTGGCATGCTACCTTATTACTACCCTCAGTCATCCACCCTATTCACAAGACTTGACCTTCCGTGACTGTTTTCCTTTCCCATGACTCAATTCCACAACAAAGAGACTTCATTCATAAATTGGAACGCAGTCACCAGTCCCATGACAAGTGTGCTGCACACCCTAAATGCAAAGGAGCCATTTCACCTTATAGTGGAAGGTATGTGTTCTCCCAAAGAAAAGAAAAAAGAAACATCTGCAAACTTTTGATAGGTCATCCTCATAATCCAAATTTGTCTAAATGCTTTACAAAAGAATTATGTGGTATCTCAGTTCTGGAATCATAGCATATTCATCATAGCACAAGTACTGAAAATGCCAAAAGCATCAAAAATAGCCAACGAGCATGGATGCATCTTGGCCACCACCCCCTTAACCTTGGTCTGGCTGGCTTCAGGGGAAGGTGGACAAGATGGGTCACACATTCATGCAGGTGAGTTGGGCTCATTTATATCTCCTTCTTTTATTCCTTTTTACATGTCTACCTCAACTTTTCCTCATTCACAGCAGCAAAGAAGCAAAGGTATTGAAGAGGAACAAGTAGGAATATTATCAAATGTCCTCCAGTTTTTTTTTCCTTTCTTTGCCCCTACCCTAATGAGAGCATTGCAGGGAATAGTCTCCATATCTCCTCAATGAACGACCAAAAACCGCAACAGCAATAGAGAATTAAAAATACGAATAATGATTCTACGCGAGTCACAAATTCAAATATTCAAAAATGGCCTCGACACTCGCGTGGTCTTAATGTCCACTACATTAATTAGGCCTAAGGCCCAGTCCTACTATCTTCAGGTGAGGTCTGCACCTACCTTTCTTTCGGCCAAAATATCCTCCACCCTCACGGCAAATCTCCGGTTTCTCGAACCAATTCAGCGCGGCCGAGTAACATTACATCCGCTACGAGCCGATCTCGAGGAAAACATGGAGAGCCATCCCCACCCAACCGCCGGCACGTGGAGCGCCATGCACATCAGTGACGTCACTGACCGAAAAGGGGGGGGGGGGGGGGGGGCAAGGGGAGGGGAGGGGGAGGGGAGGGGGAGAGGGGTCGCTCGATCGATAGGCATGGAATCGTGTTGCGGCTTGCAACGATGACGTCGGTGTCATGGAGCTACAAGAGATTTTTATTTTTATTTTATATATAATGGATACGACTTAGTTTAGAAAAAAAAACGTTCCTCCTGTTTAGAGCTCGCGATCACACACGTGGCGGTCACAAAAACTTCGAAACCCCGATTTATTGCCTGGTCTGAGTCTCATCGCGGTTTCACGCGAATGGATTTTGCGAATACACATTCTAAGTCATTTCTTGGATCTTATGATCACATCCGAGGATTTTCCTCGTTAAGTCGCGGCCCCCTATCTCTACGAGTTCATCGAACTGGACACGAACCGACCGAACTGGTCGTCGAATTCTTGCAATTTGGTTCATATTCAATTAACTGAAAATGAAAATGAATCCATCCAATCATCAACGGAAACGAGCGAGCATTTAACTGAAGCTTGACAATTTTGCTCAGTAACCTCCGGTTAATGGGAACTCGTTGAACCGGTCTGAAAATGTCTATTTTCAATTTAGTCTATTTTCGATTTGGTCTATTTTCAATTTAGTTTATTTTCAGCACTCCCACAACCGGAGATCAATTGAAGCTTCGCCTCGATTAAATTGAAACAAAACGCAAAACCGAGACCGAATCTACAACTTCCGGGAATGAACCTCAAATTTCGTTTTAATGAATGCCTCAGTGGAAAACAGAGACCTCTGAAGTGATGAAAAAAAAACGCCATTACCCAGTTGAAAAGCGCAGCCGAGGCGGTGCAGGCTGTGACGCACGCTGAGAAGAGAGAGGGAAGGCGAAAGCGCGAATCGGGGCAGCGCCGAGGTGCGCATGCGCGGAGGACCGCTGCCCTCCCGAGCCACTGCCATGGGAACCTGCTCGACTTGGCGCGGGGGAAGGGCAGGTGCTGCCTGGGAGGCGGTTCGCGGTTTTTCGTTAGCTAGGTGTTGTAGGTTTGCAGTGATGGATGATGAAAGAAAAGGAGAAATCTGAAGGCATTGCGCAAGACGGTCTCTAGGTCTCGACTGTTACCGAGCGCGATATGATCTTAACGCTGAAAATTCGTACCGTTTTGTTTTGTTATTTCGAAATGCCTCAATTTTATATGGAAAAATTCTCTGCTTGATGCAGCTCGCTCTGTGGCTCTGGACGGTCAGTGATTAATGAAGGGGGGAAGGGATGTCGGCTGGACGAGCTGCGGATTTGATCGGACAAGGTTGGTGCGATGAGTTCCCACACCTTTTCCGTTCCGAGAAAAATCGATCATTCTCTCGCTCTTTCTCTCTCCCTGGAGCCTCAGTCTCTCTCGGCCGGTTCGCGCATGATTAAGTAGTGTCCAGGGGCTGTCCCTTTTGAGGTCTTCGGTCGAATTCTTCTCGATGGCCCAAAGGGAATTTAGGACTTGAACATCGGGGAGATTCCGGGACTGCCTTCGGGCTTATGCACGGAAAGCGAAGACAATCTGAGGTTCTCATTTGAATTTATTCCATTACGTCGCAGTAATCAGGCCTGATGTGTAAGACTACTCTGGTTGGAGATCTGAACACATGCTGCATTTCATTAAAGTCGACATAATCATCATGGAGACGAGTCCCGTGTCTTGAGGTTTTTCGAGGGTTTCCCCCCCCATCAACGTTCAATTGGTCAATGACTTAACACTTGGTAGTCCTAGGTCAATTAGAGAAATCTCAGACCTTTAAAGGTTGTCGTTTTACAAGGCAAAAGAAAAATCCAATAATAAAAGTGACAATCATGAGATGCACTTATGCTTTGCAAGGGATCAGAGTTCCAGGCAGAACAGCTTATCTCTCCACTCCAGGATAAGAGGAAACAGTTTGTACTCCGTACTGGCTCCGGTACTCCGTTGCCCAAAAATTAAGCACTGTCGTAGTGCATACGGGCTTTACATTTTCACATGCAGCTTCTGTGTGGTCAATGAGGAGCCAAGGACGTGAAGTACCACAAAGCACCTGGGACAATGGGAATCGGAGACACTTTCCTGAAGAATCAAGGTTGCCAAAACTTTGCCTTCAATCTCGGCAAGGACTCAGAGCATCCTACATTCTATTTGAATAATTGATAGGCAACCACGGAAGAGCAAGCTTGTCTTTCGCATCTAGATAGACCAAAGGTTCGACGTGTCAGCGCCCCCTGACGAGAGACACGTCAACTATAGTCTCTTCAAATATCCTGAGGATGGCGAGACGAGCTGAATCCCTTGTTCTCCCTTTTGCGTCTCGCGAGTCCGTTGCCGGCCAATCAGAGCGGTAGCTCCGTGCTACGTCATAATCTACGGGCAATGAGAACGCAGCTGGCCAATCAGAACGTAGCTCCATTTACGTCATAATCCACAGGGCATCCTAGAACCATGAAGAGTCTATGCCTCGAACCCATCCCTTGGGATTGCAAAGTGCAATCGAAGAAAATGGATGCGAAATGTGTTCAATTTGTGGCATGTATAACCGATTCTTCCCGGCAGAGACTCAGATGGCTCTTTCGATCCAGGCTATTCTATGTGGTATTTGAAAAAGGCGAAACGATCGAACTCGGTAAAACTTTTACTTTCCGCCGTAATTTGTGTGTCCATGAGGTTCTTTTCCAGCACGGAGCCTTCCTTTCTCACCCGAAGGGAGTATTAAGGGCATTTTCCCTATAGCTTGAGTGCAACAAAGGACAACCTTCCAAACGATGGACAGGGTATCAAAATTTGCTCCTCCTGCCGTATCGATAACGGTCAAAGATAAACTAGGTCGAGTCCACCACTCTAGTCTCTAACGCCAAGTCCTCAGAGCTGCCAGGCCTAGATTCCAAACACACCTGCGCAAACTGCAACGGTCGCATCGAGTACCCAAACAGGCCGTGATGCACGAGACTCCTACCTGGCGCATGCGTAAATGGATCACTTTCACCGGTCTGTCGCTGAACGCATGTCACTTCCCGATTTCCCCTCCTGTTATCTAGGCCTGCCCATTCCTCCGTAAGATAAGATAGGGGTTTGGGTTTCCTTGTCCACCGTGACGTTGTTTCCTGCAATTATTCCCAAGCGGAAATTGTTTCCAATGGGATGAGACCTTTCCTTATCTTCGGTTAATCCCGTTTCGGAAGTTCCCTCGCCGAGGACCTCATGCTCGTTCCTTTCTTGATCAATGGCGTAGCCAGACTTAGCTGGCTCTTTTTGCAGTGCTTCGACCGTCTTGCTAAGGTTCATAAGTCAATAGTACCAGTAGTTATTTGAAAGGCACAATGCCAAAACCTAGTCTTGCTAAATCAGAGTCCAGTCCGCCCAAAACAGAGATTAAGTGCCTTCCTGGCTCTTCTCGCATGCATGGTCACTTCTATGCACTTCTGTGGGCCACTGTGAAATGGAGTCAGGATCATATTTGTCTTCCACCTTTGGTTGTAATCATTTACGTCCACCCGTCTTTAATTTTTTAACCGGTACTTGATTTTGGCTCGTACTTATTTTTGAGGTCTGTATGAATAAAAATCACACTATCTGTGATCATATGCTGAGCCGATTTGAGCTACCATTAAAAGTGCAAAATGTGAAGCTACTTACACTTCCAGAAAAATTATGGCTCATCATTCAGCATGCCATAACTTGATTTACCCAATATCTTATAAATTCAGTGCTAATGTTAATCAAAGTCAGATAAGACATTGGAAAGTGTTCATGTTAGGGAAGAAGGCTTCATGTACAGATCTTGAAAGAGGCACAATCTGTTGTGCCGTAGGCAACTAAATCAGTTGCTCCCAGTCTAGGACTTAAAGAAAGAAAACCATCATAGTTCAGGATGAGTAATTGTTTTTTTTAATCTGGGAGGCTGGATTTTTACAACTGGGTGGCAAAGAAAATTCTGGAATTGTAAATGAGTGGGCCGCCCAGTTATAAAGGCCTGGCTAGAACCCTGCACCACCTCCACTTACTCCAGTCCCTCAAGAATTGCTTCCACCGTAGCCACGACGACCCCCACCACCGCCACCGTCACCATTTGGGCAGTCCCGGGCCATGTGCCCCTCCTGATTACACCTATAGCAGGCTGAGTGGAGAAAAAGAAAAAGAATAAAAACTTCACCAATTAAAACAATACCAGAAAGATGGTCGGAGATGAATTCAAACCTCTTCCACCACCACCTCGTCCACCCTGAAAGGAAATATATGAAAACATTTTTTTTGTCAAGTCAAATAGAGCCCAATAGTAGGTCAATAAATGGTGAATGACTTACAGAGCCAGCATTGGGGCAGTCTCTAGATATATGCCCTTCCTCTCCACATTTGAAGCATCCTGAAAGACAACAAGCAATTCCAACTGTTTCATCTGAAGCCTCCAGAAACCAGAAAATAATGGAGGACTTATGAAAAACTTACCACGCCCTCCACCACCACCACCACCTCGACTCTGAAAAGATAAATAAAAAATTATCCACACAAGTTCAGTGTCCAAGGAAGATGCCTAACATTCAGCCATGTAACCTTCCATTCAACTGTGCAAAAAATGTGGAGCATGGAAAAACCTACTGAATCATTCCTGCAATCTCGAGACATGTGTCCTTCCTTGCCACATTTGAAGCATGCTGGAATGAACAAGAAGATAATTTATATGCAGCTATTTACTATTCAGATTGGATCAGAATAAGGCAATGAAAATGCTTACCGCGACTACCACCACCGCCGCCACCACCACGGCCCTAAGAAAAAAAAAAAAGAGTAATGACCATGAGCTCAGTAGCATAGGGCAGTATCAGCACTTATATTGTCTTGAGCATCATACCCAAGTTAATAATATAATATACTCTAAATGAGGAGGGATGATTGAGAAATATAGAAGATTCAGATGCTCTAAGCAGTCACTTGTCACATTTCTCAATATATTTTCCCCATACTGTGACTAGGAATGCACTTACCTGTGCGCAGCAAAGGACACTGGAATGGTGCATCTGATTTTCATCAACAAAGGTGAAAATCTACCATCACGTTAGAATGACTCATCAACGTCAATAAATATATTGCTGTACTACCTGAATCTGATATTCCTTGAGTTTCACAAATATAAGAATATGTTCAATGTTTCCTCTACACAATCTCCTAGAAACTCAACGTGTCAACCAAATCCTCCAGCACCTTAAAGTCTGTTTTGCTCTCAAGCTTGCACAAGCAATAGTATGACTGCAGACTTTTAGGAAGGAAAAGACTTGAATGCACAAACTTCATTTAGATGAAATAAAGAGGCCTTTAAGGTAAAGAGCTCTTTTCCCCCTCATAGGAGTCAAAGTATTCTTAAAGGGCTGTTAACTAAAGGTTTCAGAATTTGAGCCTAAGCCTCTACAGCACCTGTAGGATGTAGAAAATCTCTCAACTGGTTAGGCCTTTTGTGCAGCATCCAGTTATTAAATTGAGATAATGGCAGTTGCAATGTATATATACATTTACTGTCCCAAATGCCACAAATTCTTGCATCTATCCCACTCCCAGCTACAGACATTCAATACATCATACCTTTGTCCAACACATTATGTCATAAAACTCAACTTATCCTATCCACAGGGTATAGCAGATAACTACAACATGCAAACAAGGAACATGATTCAATCCTATCAATTCCTTAATAATTATTAAATTAAGGTGCCCAATGAAGATGGTCATTTCTTACTTGAAACATAAGTCTCAACACAAGTATTGAGTAGTTGGCATGTTTTCTCCAAATTGCTGTTATTACTGTGTAATGCACTCATTCTATTAGGTGATGAGCAGACAAGTTTTGAGAATTTAATTCTCTCCCTACGCAGAAATGTGTAATGTGTAACACAAAAAATTGAAGCTTGTCATCTAGCAATATTTTGCTCTGTCATCACAACTAAGTATGTTTACTTCAAAATGGCTGCTGCCAGCATAAAAAAGGAAACAAGTCAATAACAAAGAGTTATATGTGATAATACATTTGGTAAAGGGATATATTTGGGAAAGAAATCTTGTCTTCAGGAATTATATATTTATGAAAGTCTTAAAGTAACATAGCTAATTTTCAAAATGGCTGCCAAACCCAGCCAAAAAATAGCATTAGTGACCAACTTATTCACATGAAGTTGAGTTTAAAGTCTTCATAGGCATATTTTGGGTCAGAGTTAATATCTAATATTCAACATGTATCAGAGTTTCTCAAATATCAAAATTGATGACCTATTCCCTATCACACATTAAAGGAAAAATACTGGGAACTGTGTGAGGAGAGCACTGAATTATTTGTTTCAGCTTTACGGGAGGTCAGGAGGTTGAGGCTGAACATTCAAAGAAATGGACTGCAAAATGTTGGGTGAATAAGCATAGTAAGTTGGAATAAAAGCAACCTCTGGGTGAGATTAATTCCATTTTTTGTTCTTTTATCTGTAAATTTTTAGCTTGGTGTGATGCCATGGTGGAGGTTCATGCCTCACCAATATATTAAGTTACATGCACATCCTTCTCGTATGTTAAGATGAAGGGGTTGGAGAATACCTATCATTCGTCATACATTACCCATTAATGGCATCCTTTATACAATTCAGGTGCAAGATCAGATTCTGATCACACAAGATTTCTTGAAATATCAGAACAATACTCTGACTCAAAACACTCATACTAAGATACAGTGGCAGCTCATGATATTTAGCGCTAGAGGTTCATCTATGGAGAGGGGATAAGCAGTGCCCCCCCCCTGCCTTCCTCATCTCCATAGATGGACCACTAGTACTAAATATCACTGCTAAGATGCTAAACTTGATCAGGTTCAGTAGCCAGTGGTTCTGGCTACAGAGAAATCTAGGAGGGAAGGTTTAAGTTCAGGTAGCAGTGGGCTCTTCACTGACTGACTTCCCACGTGCTTTGATGGGGAGGGTCTGCTTAGCATGAGATAAAACACACCACTCTGTGTGGCACATCTATGAGATACAGGTGCAGTACACCTTAACCACTTGCCCAGTTATGGGTTTAGGAAACCTGCAAGCTGCCTCTATGGCCTCCTACAGGATTGTCAAGGGGTGTCCCAGCCTGAGGGAATGCCATTCAGATGTGGTGCCTGTGTCTAGCAGTCAACCCATTCTTACCATATGTCCTGTCCCAAGAAAAAAGAAATACACTAAACATACCTTCATTACTGAGAGTTGGTGACTTACAACAAAAGTGACTTAAAAATAACTTGAATAAAGCCCACCAGAATGAGACTGGCAATTACTTATTTCAACTTTCAGGTTGCCAGAAGCCATTTTGACATTTGACTGCCACCTTGATGCAGCAAACTACGAAGTGACAAACCTAATTTGGTTTGTCACTTCGTAGTCTTTAAATTATGAACTTTGAGTTAATACGAGCACAATTCTGTACAGAATTATAAATTAACCGTTACAAACTGAATGTTTCCATATTCAAACAGCATGGAATCTTCCTTTTTACAGGAGTGGAAAGGAAGATTCCATGCTCTTCAAATATAGCAAATTGTGTTTTTCCACTCGCATCCTCTTTTTAGTGGGCCTCCTTTCCTGAAAGGAAAGAGACCTCTGATGGTCCCATCCTGTCTGTGTGTCATACTTTGGTTGTCTGATAGCAAAAAAATATTGGCCGGATCAATGAAAAAATTGGCAAGTGGATAGATATGAAGATACAGGCAGAGTTAATTTAGATATGAATTTGCACAAAAATTGGCATTTTTATTGCAAATTGGATTTGAAATTTGGTCATGGAAGGGAAGGCATGAGTACTTGTGAGCCCTTCAGGTTCTGGACCACACATACGACATAGGCCTTGGGCACTGCACCAAGTCAGCAACTAAAGCCGTCAGTTCCTAACCAACCTTTGTGGTGGATGGATCCAACCACACACAGCCCTCCATCCTCCCATCAGTTTCATGGGCACTGCTTGTCTATGTTCACCAAATATAAGTGAGAAATGACGTTTTGATGGTTGAAGACCAGAAAGAGATGGCATTTTGTTCAATTAGGTGACAAAATGAGTTTCCTTAACTGAAAGGAGGCCCACAACTGGACTGGGCTTGCCCAACTTGTTTAAAATGGAAATGCTCAGTGCATAAAGGCTAAACTGAGTCCTAAAGGGGACCTTCCTGTACAGCTTCTCTAAATGCAGAAATAAATAATTCTCCTGATATCTTGACCACTGAGTCAAGATAAATTTGTAGTCAACAGATTACTAAGTATGCATACTAACCTTCAGGACTATTTCACTCATGAAATGCCAGCTCATTTTAAGCTGGTAAAATACTAGCTACATTAAATGCACTTAGGACAGTGCAATTTCCCACCCATTCAGAAATGCATCCTCTCAATGCATTGGTTTTGAGAACTCAGGGCACATTAACTTAAATCTCCTTCTAGCTGTTACTCAGGAGACCAAAGAAAAGCCAGCTACATCTTAAATACCTCAAACCACTCATTGAATTTCTACCTGTCATGGTGACCAAGTAGACGAACTGTAGAAATCCATCTTGAATTTGTCTTCATTTACCAAATGAGAAAGCAGTTTAGTCAATCTAGGCCTTGTAAAATTGTTAGGTGTATTTTGAAGATATTTCAACCTAGGCTTAATGCTGGGGTCTGTGCAACAAGATAACCCCATGACTTTCAAAGTGAAAATGGAAATTGACAAGGTTGGTTGTTCCACACCTCTTACGAGACTTGATAAACTAAGCTTGGAGAATGGGACTATGGAAATGATTTCATGTTCAAGACTTCTGAAAACAGGACACAACATTCCATCTAGGTTGGCAATTGCATGCCAAGGAATGTACAGAAGTGTGTCCAGAGTTGCTGAAAATGAGTTTTTTGGGCAAACTGGTCCTACAGTAAAGTCAGAGATTTGATTACCTAATTACACTCTCGAGCAGAGGTGCACAACATATGGCATGCGAGGCTCTTGTATGCAGCCTGCCATGACTGGTGGCATTGTAAGTTCTACTATGGCTCCTTCCCTGTTGGTCACAGCTATGGTCAGTTAGCTGCACCCCACTGTAGGTGAGCAAAAATAATCACAAGTGGCCCTCAGCCTTTTGAGTTGTGCACCCCTGCTTTAGAGCTTTCCCTGGTTTATGCTGAAAGTAGTTCAGCATAAATTTATTATTATTTTTTTAAATAGAACATAAGGTAAGCTCATTACACAGTTTAAAGAAGAGCAATGGGGGGAGCAAGATTAAGGGGAGGATTTCCCATCCACCTGCTAGTGCAGCCCCTGCATTACTTTCAAGATCTCAAAAAGAAACCAATAACGTATACCATTAGATACAGAAATAGACAATAAAATGATAGAAAACTCACTCCACCATCCCCCTTGGGGCAATTCCGAGACATGTGTCCTTCTTCACCGCATTTGAAACAACCTGTAACAAATTACATGACAGTAAACACCTATCTTTTCCTAAATAAATATATTCATTTGGATTTATACTGGTATGCCACAGACTAAATTCAGGGCCCTACACCCATTGGATCTTTCTCAAGAAATAACCAGCTACTAGGACTCCTGTTTGCTTGAAGCACAGTTGAAAAGGAAGAAAAGTTCACATAGCAAGGGTGTGGGCAGGGATCGAACTCATGTTTTGTACTTTCACCTAAGTTGCATGCCATTCACTGAAAAGTCAGCTCCTGCTCTCCATAATGGGGCAAAAAGTAAAAAAAAAAGCTGTACATAAGGATACGAAGAGAAAAGTAGCCGAGCTACTTACGACTGGATTTGGATCTGCCCTGAATATAGCCTGATACATCAATTGGTATATCATTTCAGAAAAGTAACGAACCTCTTCCGGATCCACCGTAGTTCTTCGGGCATTCTCGGGACATGTGCCCCTCCTCCCCACACTTGAAGCAGCCTGTAATGTAGTTTGTGAGCTCACATTGCAGATATGTTTCAATCAGGAATCAAAAAGAATACATCGCTCGTAGAGAACGAGCACTAGGCCTATGGTAAAAGGCGTGGTCTTCGCGCAACGACCATTTCAAGCCACATCACCTCTTCCGGTAGACATGTCTGGTAAATGGCCCGCACACGTTGAAAGGTAGCAAACGACTGACGCTGACCCGACCGTCCCTCTGCACGTCGTCCGGTGGAATGAGGTTTCCGCCAAATCCCCCCTGCGCGAATCCCACGCCCTCTGCCGTAGGCCTACCTCCCGACCACCCCATTACGCGTGTCTCACAAAAACCGGTCCCAAGCCCAAAAATACACGATCTGAACAAATTTACGTCCCTTAAGGCAGGCCTACGACCAAACTTCAACTCCGATTCCCAAAAACGCGAGTCTCGACACGCGACGTTACGCCGACCCGGAAACCGCCTCACCCCCCCCTTCCCTCTTCGATATCTTTCTCCTCATCCCACCCCCGCCTCCCAAAATCCCCCCACCCCACCATAACCACCCCTCCTCCATTCCCCACCCACTCCCCATCCCCACTTTCCCCCAGATCCGCGGAAAACACAAAAAGGAAATTACCTGATTGGAATCCTCCCCTTCTGGAGTCAGCCATGGTAGCACGCAGTGTTCCCTCTCGACCACTTCGCACTCGCTCAGTCGAGTTTGTCCAAGACGCACTTCTTTTCTACCCCAACTTCGATTACTTCTGCATTTTTCGCCCTTACGACCTCCTCTAAACTCAAAATTTCGTTCCTAGAATAAAAAATAAATATTTTTCCAGAAAATTTAAATGCAAATCTCTGCAGGGTTGTTCGGAATGCGGCATCGCATGCACAGGAAATGCCGGCGCATTGCGACGCCGCAATGCGACGCGTGCGCCGTCGGTGGACGTGGCACTGCGCACTTCTCGGAAACCTTCAAGCGTCGATATTACTCCTGCCTTTGTGGAAACTGCGGAGTCCCAAATGACGAATTGCTCTTGAAGGAGTTGCGGAATCTTCTGGATATGTTTCTTATTTTCGCGCAATTCCCACGGGAAAGCGTCATAACAGTTAGCGCATCATACTGGGTATTTTCTAATGGGGATTTCGGCATTCCAGGAGGAAGTTACCGTTAGAAGCAATGCATTATGGAACCGACTTGGGGTCACTGGACATTCCTAAAGCGATGGAAGCTTTGTAATATTAATAATGTGCGAGATATGTGGAACGATAGGTGGAATCGTGCTGGAAATTAGCCGCTTAATACTCCTTTAGAGGATAATATTACATTTAAATAAATAATAATTAAACCTGTAAGTGCAGCTGATGAATCTCGTATCTCTTATAGTGCTTCATAGGAACTCTCCTTTTGATCAAGAAATAATAATTACTCTAAATGGATTTGGAATGCGACTGCAACGGCTCAGCGAGTCGAAGAAATGAAACCGCCGAGTGAAAGGGGAATTCAGTACTGGAATTCACTCGCCCGGCTTGTTTTTCCAGGCGTGTCGGAGGCCGGTCTGGCAAGGGTGTGTGTGTGTGTATGCGATGGTGGGATGCCATTGGGTGCTGGGTTTCTTGGGGAAATGAAAGCGGGCTTGTCCCTGAGGCGAGGCTGGGAGGTCTCGCTGCTGCTTTCCTTGTGGCTTTTTCCAGCTGTCTGGAGAGACAAGTGCAGGCGGGAGGGGGCATCAAGGACAATCTGCCCCTGGCCTCTAGAAACCTCTGGGCGGGTCTGGACAAGTGTATGAGGAAATTGGCATGAAGGCCATCACCGCACATCTGTCGTTGCTCTGGGTGCCACAAATGCATATAATTATGGTACAAACAAAGGGAAACTTCCTCAATGCCAGAAATCAGGTCATGATCAAGTTTCAGAACATGCAAACATTTTATTTGCCTTTTTTTCCCTCTAACTCTGAGATCACATTGGGGTGAAAACATGAAGCCTTTTTAGGACAATGGTTAATATATTGGAAGGGAATGAAAGCATGGCTTGGGTCAAGACTGTTTAATCCCAACAAGACAAGCACCATCCTCGGTATCAGTGCCACTGATGATCACAATGAAGAAGGCACTGGGTGCAGCATTGGTGTGGATCTTGCGGAGTCGACGCACCATCCTCTCCAGATCCTATTGGAAATAAAACAAATCAGTAGATTCTCTGCCATTCTCTCCAAAAAATTCTTGCTGGGAAGCCTCACCTTGGCACGAGCATCTCCGGACTTGGAGTCAGACACGACGAAATGAGACACAAGGAGGGAGAAGTCCCTTGTGTGATCGTAGACGTAGTTGGCCACGTGCTTGTTGCATGCCTTTGGGAGGAGGTGGACATTCTGGCTCGCACGGTAGCCCTTCAGCATTTCTTCATAACATGAGATTGCACTCTCCTTCCCCACTAAAGATGCTGCCAGGGAGGGTTAGGTGAATTACACATGGAGTACATCAGCGCAAGAAGTGGTCAAGGGCTAGAAAGTCACCTAGCACCATTTTAGTACTTCTTAGAAAGCTTAAACACTTTGAGTTAGGATTACCATCAGGTCAGATGTTTCCATATAGAAAGTGCATGAGAATACCTTTTATCCTGTCAGTTTTGAGTTACAATTTGTGATCCATTCATACTTGTGAGTACTTGCAGCAATTACCAGCCTTTTGGAATGAAAGCAGCAGTGTTTAGTTATCAAAATGTGGTAATAAAAAGAAAATTCAGTTTTGATTTGTAGGTGCAAGAATATTGAGTCTTACTTACAAAGTATTCCTATATCATATACAATGAGGGATCTTTACTGCCATGCAAAATCAGTGTGCAACCTATTGTTAGCCATCATCACCATCACTCCAGGAATGTATTGTTCAAGGCATACAGCATTAATGCAAATCTGAATATAGTTCACTTCTACCAGCTGCATTTCTGCAATTCATTATAGCTTCATGCTGTAACCTGCAAGTCAGCTCATTGGGATTATATTTATCATCTGCACTGTATGTGCCCTTGTTGCCCCCATCTATAACAAGGCTTAACACTCTGCATATAACCAGTAATGAGAAACTGCTGTATGTCCCACCACAGAATGTAACTCTTGTGGAGGGTGGTGGATGGAGTTATGCCACTTAGGAATTGGGATCTATCCACCACCTGCTCCTCGATAAGAATCATACAAAACTCCCTCTGGATACTTTGTACCATTAATGAGGACAAATTTGCCTTCCACCCTCACCAAATTTGTGGTGAAAGCTCTGTCTTTTTTGTTTCCATGGTCTTTTCTCCTGATATTTTTCCTCTCAAAACCATCTCTTTTAGGGCAAGAGTATGGGGCTTTGCAAAGCTATTCTTTCTTTCTATAAATGGGTGACTGCAAACAGGAATATAACAGGACCTTTCATGAAATCACATCCTTATGGAACTCACTCCTGAATGTTGCATTCCTTTTTTTTTTGCTTTTGAAAATTTTAGAGGCAATTCCATTCCTCTTCTGAATCTTGGGCAGTAATACCAACTTAAGTGCTGAGAGCTTTAAGAAATAAATTTTTTCCTCTCAAAGTAAAGATTTCCTTTCAAACCCATTAAACCCTACTTCCAAAATGACCTCAAAGTCACAACAATACAAAAGCATATGGATATACAATCTACTTTTGCATATATTGTAACTAAACAGAGTTACCACCATCCAAAAGTGCCTAACATCTTTAAAAACCAATTGTATATCCAGAAAGTGGAAGATGTTTTCTGCATTGTCAAAAGAATCACTTCATGAACACATTCAAAGAAAAATACCATTCCTGTATACTATAAAGGCAGAAGATACTCACCATGCATTTTGTGGTTTACAAAACTTGAAATGAGCATTCATTTGATGTTTGTATGCTTAGGGTACAACGGGCTGAGTTTTTAATGCAGGAGGTATGTGGTCACCCATACAACATTGATTGATGCACACATAACTGTGTTTGTACTGTTAACTCACTTCATGAATAGTCCCACTTATCAGCAGTAAATCCCATAAGCAAGCATGCTCTATGTTCATATAATAAACTAAGCATGCTCTTTGTTCATATAATGAAATAATTTTGGGAGTGAGATCAAGAAGCAAACATGACAACACTTTGGATGCCTGTTTTAATAAAATATTAAAAGCTCCCACATGAGAAACTACTTATTTTACACCAATAATTATTTACTTTTTTATGTTACCAGAATGAAAAAAAGGCAAATGATTTTTCTACTTCTCTAATATGAAGCAACATGGTTGAGAAAAATATGGGAGTTTCATATTGTACTATCCAGAATGTAAATTAAGTGCAAATTTTGCCTAGGTCTGCCTACTCATGAGTCATAATAATAACTATGAAAACTGAATAACTCCATCTTCTTACTGCTAGGATTCCTTATCATCTGTTTCACAGCTGAAAATAGACATTTCTGAGCTGGAAATCCTCTACATTTCTTTCAATATAGAGTCATGGGATTTGAACAAAACGTGAATGAGTTTTGTAGAGTGCCAAACAAGGTATGAAAGAAGTTCCTACCAGATTTTCGGGAGTCATAGCAGAGATAATGGAAAAAGCTCTCATTGAGGTCTTTGACAGGAGCTCCATTGAAGATGTCTTCAGCTCCTGTGCCTGGGACCCAGCCCTGACAAACATCCCCAAACTGCAACCCTGCACACAAGTATACCAGGTCATCATACATATTGAAATAGAAAAGTACAAAGATACTCAAATGAGACTGGAGACCATGCTTGAGCTTGAGGAGGCAGAGCCTCATGGTGACAGTGGCATCCTCAATGGGATTGTGTCCTGTTTCCTCGCTCTGAATTGTCTTCCCCAAGAAGATTTGTGCCAAGGTTGACAGCTTGTCTTTGCGATTCGGCAACCCAGTCGTATTCAAGATCACACTGGTATCGATCACGTATGGATGGAACATCTACAAAATACAGGATTAGGTGCATGTTATGTAGTGAATGTTACATAGTTCCTGTAAAATGTGCAAACTCATTCTTCACTGAAACAGAAGGCAAATTTCCTAGGTTTTGATCAAATGTGTGGTGAAAAAGAATCATCATATATACAACCACTATGGCACCTACTTCATCCTCCTATATAAGTCAGTACATATATAGGGCATTCCAGAATTCCAGTCACATGTGAAGGTTATTAAACAAGTAGCCCAAGAGTCACAACTATGTAATTTTAAACATTGGTAGTCCACATGTTGCCAATATGGAATGTGAGTTTAAGCATAAGATACACAAATGCAATAGAATGACGGCAGTGGTTTGGGAAGTCATCTATTGCACCCTGTGCCATTTCAAATGGAATTGCTACTATGAGTTTTCAATTGAGAGACTCAAAGCATGAACATCTGCAGGCTTTTCAGAGAACATGTTCTCCTTCAGGAAGTGCCATACCCAGTAGTCACTGTTTGTCAGTTCTGGTGATTGGGCAGTCATTCAAAAAATCCAATCGACCTCATCTTGATGGATATGGAATGGTGGTATGAAGACCCAGAATGCCTCCTGCCCATAGGGAACAGCGACCATAACACAATATTGTACAAGCCCCAACTGTCCCCCCTGCCCAAACAATTATCTCTATGATTCTATGACTTTTTGATGCTTCCCTGACTCTGCTTTACAAAGTTTTGGATAATGGCTGATGCATTTAGGTTGGACTGAATAACAGCTGCAACTGATGCAAATACCAAAGAAATGATCATCACCAAAAAAAAGTGCAGTATCAGTTCCAGGGACAAGCCATGGATGACCCCTACAATGAAGCACTTGATTAAAAAATGACAAGAAGCATTCTGTAAAGAATAAATTGGAAAACATCGCCATTTGGTCATCTTGGTGACGAATGAAATACCTGCTGCAAAGAAAGAGCATTATCGCAACAAAGTTGGAAGCCTGAGGAAATCAGATCCAAGAAAATGGCACAGGCAAGTTGCAAACCTCTGTGGGCTAACCAAGGACTCATCCATCTGTTCTATTTCTGCCATTGCCACTCTAGATGTTATCAACCACTACCTCTCTTGACCCTGTGCAGTACCAGATCCCCTGGATAGAAACTGCCTCCCATCTTTCCTGCCAAATGGCCTGCCTCTTGAGGTAATACCCAATGAGGTTTTTTAGCTCCTTCAGAAAGTTAAGAGTTTTCTGCTCCCTGACCAGATGGCATTCTGTCTAAAATCTACAAGGAGTTTGCCTTGGAGATGGCCACCCCACTGTCCCTTATTTTCATTGCTTCCATCCATCAATGATGGCCAAGTACCAAGAGCCTGGAGACTGGCCACTGTTGTCCCAATTCCAAAAAAGCATCTGCCAAAAACCCTCAATGACCTTCAACTAATAGCTCTCACATGCTTACCCTACAAGATGCTGGAGAAAATCATCCTGACAAGAATAAAAGGAATTTCCAAAAAGCTTCACCCATCTGAGTATGGATCCTGCAAGGGCATGTCTGTGCTTGACTACCTGGTTGACCTTCTACATTTTGTCCTTGCAAAGCTAGATTCTGGGAAAGCGGCAACCGGTGTCCTCCTGGACTTTAGTAAGGTGTTCAATACCATATACCATACCATCATCATTGGAATACTACTATCACTAGGAGCAGAGCCCTACTGGTACAGTGGATAACTGCTTTTCTCCAAGGAAGAGCCCAACAGACCCAGTACTCAGGAGTCCTTTCTGAGGAAGTCCCCCTCTTGTGTGGGGTCCCTCAAGGGACTGTCTTAGGCCCCTTCTTATTTTCCGTGATGGTCGACGATGACTTCTAAGAAGGAACCTTGTCATTCAAATATGTGGACAACAAAACCATGATTTGTGACCACCCAAAAAACGCTCCCCTGAAACTCCAGAAAGCCTTAGATCATGAGCATGAATGGGCAACATTAAACAAATGAAACTAAATCTTGAGAAGTGTTCTTTAATTTAATTTTGCTTCACAAAATACCCCATCCCAGCTCATCTGATGACCGTTGATGGTTGCTACCTACAATCAATAGAAGTGGTTTGCTTCCTTGGCATGATGATTCAATCAGATCTCAGATGGGATGCAAACACCAAGAGCATCTTGTCCAAAGCATCCAGATCTTACAGAGCCTTGACACCAGAGCTTGTCCTAGTGTGGACAGCCCATATCCACCCCATTTTGGAGTATGCTGCCCCCTTATGGCACTCATCCCTAACTGCCTTACAAACCCATTTTCTCAAACTATTCCAAAAGCTGCTCTGTGTCTCATCTTGAGTTCCAGTTACTACTCATATGAGGCAGCTCTTGCCACCCTCAAACTTCCTTCTCTGCAGGAAAGGAGGTCTATCCTCACTGCCAAATATGGTGCCTCCCTCCTGCGAAATCCTGACTGCCGACATGTTCTTCCCCCCTATCGAACTCCAACTGACTACAATCTTTGCCACAACTTGACAAAACTCCTGTGTGAAATTAAATGCCACACGAGATGGTTTTATGACTCTCCTGTTCCTAGAGTGACCAGGTTACAAAACAAAGCTGTGTGACCTATCCTGTATCAGTTCCCCATTTTTGCCATTTTGACCTTTTAACCCTTTTCCCTTTTGGTAATCTCACAGTGCCCATAACATCTTCATGCTTTCATCTGTTTCTTTTCTCTCTCTCTTCCTATTCTGACCCATTTTTGTTTTTGTACTTGTATATCTGATGTGGGAGATCAATTTGCCTTTGCACTACTTCTCCTATTTGAAATAAACCTTTCATCAATCAATCGAGGGATGGAGCAGGGTGGAGGAATGGTGTCACATTTGACAGATTAATTTCTCAAAAATTCTGCACAAAGAGAATGACCTTGATGGCTACTCCAGACATTCAGAGATAGGTCTGGAGTGGAAGCCTGGGTTAAATTGATCTTTACTGTACCTTGCTAGCCAATATGGGCTTTAATGAATGTAATTTGGCTTTATCATATTTCCTTTGTACCAGAAATAACAGTCAAGGATTCAAAGCACTCAAAAATCAAGTATTTCCCAGAGAAACTCATTTTTATATGTATCTCAATCTTTATAGGCTAAAATGTTCATGCTCCAGGAGTGGCCCTTTTTTGCCATGCATGCACTTGCAAAGTTCTAGCCAACTGATGCTTAAAGGCAAGTTTCAGCTACGGCAGCTCAAAATTGTCAACTGTTAGCATCATGATACTAAATATAATTAAACATGAACAGGTGAATGGTTTTCAGAAATAGTTCTCCCTCACACAAAAGTGAAACATGAATGCAGATGTCATTGTTGAGTCTTGTACTGTCAGGAGCAAGAAGAAGCAGAAATAGGCTTTTTCTATAACTTGACCATTCCAATCCATACTGCCATTGATCATGGAAAAGTGATAAAAATACTTGTAAAATTTTTTTTACTTGATTAGAGCAAAACATTAGCTTGTCTTCTAAAAATCATTAATTTGCTACATTTTCCAAAACTTTGGAGTCATACCTAATGAAATCCTTGTGGGTTCAACACAATTATATCAATTGAATGAATAATGATTTAATTTTTCCACCTCTGCTAACAGTGAATCCTCCTATCACCAATACATAAAGAAAACCTGTTCAAATATTTTGTATAAAAAAATATGATCATATATACTAATGGACATTGCTCTTAAGACACATGGCAGTTGTATATATGGTCATTAAAGTCAGGCTTACCTTCAGGGCATGGAGGTCTGAGTTGAGGGAATGCCCAATGAGGATAGCATCTTTTGGAAGCAATGCCTTCAGGTCCCTTTGAACTTCTTCCAGTGTTGTGTTGACATTGGCAAGCATCTCAGCTGTAATTCCACTGTACTCGGTGAGATAATTTATGATGCGATTTGCTGGTTTCACAAATGAATGATACACAACTTTCAACGCCTCATTGACGACAGCAATACGGGTAAGTTCATGCTTCTGATCCATCGTGAGACACATCTCACAATCAACAGCGTAAAGGGGGGAGTCTGGGGTCACCTCATCATACCGGTCCTGTGTCATTGTGTAATCAGACCACTCTGATCCCAGGGGGATAGGAAAGTTCTCAACAACCATCTCATATGGACTGAGAAGTAGAAGCATGCGATGGAATTTTTTGCTGTCATTTGGTGTTGCTACACTGTCTCGCTTTATCAGGGAGTCAATGGGGAAGAGGGCTTTGTACATCTGACACACCTCCCCATTCTTCACAGCATCCTCAACACTCCCATACTCTGCAAGACATAGAATGACAAAAAATATGTGAATTTACTTCCTTGCCTGTGTTCACCATCCTATTATGGCAACTGATTTAATAAAATAAATTATACCAAAATAAGCTAGTCAAGCCTGAGTATTAAAATTATATATTTTAAGTACTGAGGCTTTTCGATGAATTTATGAATGCCTGACAAAAAATGAAAGGATGATTGGAGGATCATCAAAGCACTCAATTTTATTAACACCTTGACTATAGAGTTTTGTGTGAAAGTTAAAACCTTTGGGTGAGAAATGCTGAGCTTGTTAGGATACAACAGGGAAAAAATCAATCCAGGACTAGTAAACAATGACAAATGGTACTTCTATTTATTTAAATGGTACTGATATTAATTTGCAGTCTCTTTTTATTTAATAAATTTCTCAGTGGCCAGAGTTTACTTTGAACCAGAGAATTCTTAGGCATGATAGTTGAGGAGGAATATTACTTGAAGCAATTATATTTTATTTATCATACCAAGATGGAAAATCCATTCAAAGTTAGAGTAAATGAATGACTGGGCCCTTAAATAATCCAAAATCAATGTCATTAATTAAACACTTATTCAAGGTGCCAATAGATCACCTTTGACAAGTTTGTTGAGTTTGGTGCTGGAGACAGGGATATGGCAGAGTTCTTGTGGGACTCCAGAGCCATAGCGTGCTGGAGCAACAAAGGAGACCCTGTCTTGAAATAAGGCATCAAGGATTCCCCCCTTATCTTGCACTTGCATCTCATTCAGTGTTGTGCCCTCAATAACACAGCAAACAGTGTGAGAGATCTTCGATTGACGCAGCAGACGGCACCACCTGAAGAAATTAAAACTCTAGTAAGTCCTGGCAATTCAACCACAGCATCACTTTAATTTAAATTTATGGGATCAGGTAGACTTTATTTTGAAGTATGACAAGATATACCGTGGTGGGTAAGGGCAGCAGATTCCCATCTGAGTAAGCAAGAGGAGCCTCTGGATGTCTGACATAAACAGCGGCATTGGCTTGGACTCTTCTTGTTTTAAAGATGCTAATGATCCTGGTTCCAAGAGCCAGAACTTTGGACTGCTCTGAAAACAGTGGATAACAAAAGCTCTCAATATCTCACATCTCACACATATACTTGATGGCTGTACATCTCAAATTTTTCAATGGAGATATATATTCAAGAATAAATATATTCACCATGCTCTTTTTTTGTTGCATTTTTCTCAGCTCCCACTTCAATCGTCGGACTTCATCCATCTCTGAATCTTCTTGCTGCTGAAGATTAGCAAAGAATATAATTGAAAATGTCAATAAAATATTCCACTGGGGCAATCTTATACAGGATGTGGTTTAAACATTTAAGGTGCTTTTAGCACCTTTGCAGTAGGTTCAGTCCTTTTTATTTGGAGGATAATGAATGCAACTGCAACTTCCTGAAATTTAGTTTGGATGATCTACCAGGACAGGATAGGATTTAAAGCAGATCTCAATCAGGGAAAAGGATAAGGAGCTTCAGAAAGTCCCTGGAGAACTTGGGGACATATTTTTCTTTTAAATCAGCTGGATATTAAAGGTTGCTCCTTTCCTTCATCATCTGGCTATTCCTTATTTTATGCATTTCCTTAGAAATTGTAAAGTATTATTTTATATAATATTCAAACACATTCAAGACTGTTTTGCAACTCTCTCAGCAGTAGGCATGAGCACTGTTTTCTCAGGCAAACTTGTGCAAACAATAAATAATTTTTTTGCACACAAATGAAGAGTTTTCAATGTTTTCATGTCTTCCTGGCATTATTCTTGCTCCTGGGCTATTATGATCCCAAGTAGCACAGAGGTGGCAAACCACCAACTATGTTGAGGGAAGAGAGCAGGTGGCCCATGACCTGAACTAGTTTGTGTCTCATCTGTTGCATTTCTCACTAGCTGCCACTGGCCTATCATCTTCCCAGCTGCTAGTGGCCATACACATATTCCTCATTAGCAGGGAGGTGGTGGGCCACTGGCTACATTGTGGTAAAAGAGTTGATAGCCCTTCACCTGCACAAGCTGCTTCAGATCCCACTTTTCACCACCAGCCTGCCTCCTCCTGGACCTCTAGCATATGGACCTTTGTACATTCAGGTCATCTCAAGTTGATGGAGCTCAACCATCCAGTGGCAAAACAGCTGGTATATCGTTCATCACATGGTCCATAATTCCCTACTTCCACCCAGTCATAAGTCATACTGGGCATTGAGAAACCAGGTGTAAGCACTCAGATACTGAGCCATGAATTGAACAAACTGTACTGACATTTGGAATGGGCTCAACTCTCCACTTCTCTATTACCATATATAACCTCAACAAAAGAGAAATACTTTTGATAAATTACAAAGGTAGGTCCCTAACTGTATTTGGTGGCTGCAGGAGAACATAAGTACCATCTTGTGGGAACTATTGGTACCGCACCTGGATCACACCATGTAACATACAATGTCAGTCATGAGAAGAATTATGAGAGGAAAGCTGGTGACCCACCACCTGTACTATGTAGCAGGCCATACATTGCAACCCACTAGTCATCACCAGGTTGCCACTTCTGGGCAACCAAGGGAACAACACATACATCAAATGCAACATTCTTGAGGAGGCCCACTGGCTGAACCACTATTCCAGCCAGCATATTACTGCCTCTGTGGGAAATACACCAGTATGGTGCCTTGACTGCCTCCAGCCCCTTGCCTCTGCGAGACTTGGGATTAGGGATGGGTTATTGACCAGTCAATTAAAAACATGTCAATTGACCAGTCAATATGGTCAACTATGGTCAATTTTGGTAAATAGGCCAACTTTGATTTATTTATTTATTTTTTCTTTGTAGTTTTTGCACCATTATATATGTCATTACTCACAAGTGATAGACTAGGGATGGGAAGTTGACTGGTCAACATCTCATTGCTAAGATAAATTTAATGTTCCAACTCATGCAATCTATATTGTAAACAGTAATGAATCATGTTTCATAGCTATATTAATTTTTTTTAGGCATAGGCATAGGCATAACCCAAGTACTTGCCCCATGATCGCAGACTGAGAATAATTGATGCTCTGATGCATACTATTAGCCAGGACCATGATTGACCTTGCACGAAACTAAAGTTCTAAAGCTGTTATTTAGATCTTGAACCTTAACTCTGAAAGTCCTTGAGGCTATAAAACCTTGAACAGCAAACTATGCCTGCACACACATTCTGCATCACTCAGGTGAAAGGTCATGGTAGTTTGAGCATTTACTAAAATGCTTTCATATGCAACAGGTGCCACAGTCTAGGTGTTTGGCAGGCTGCATGAACAAATCTTAAAAATTGAACTGGCTCTTTGGTTTTAGTGCTGGGGGATAAATGACCACAGTTATGAGCTCTATAAAAATATATTAATTCACAGAATAAAAAAAATTANAATCTTAAAAATTGAACTGGCTCTTTGGTTTTAGTGCTGGGGGATAAATGACCACAGTTATGAGCTCTATAAAAATATATTAATTCACAGAATTAAAAAAATTAGTGGTCAATAATGGTCAATTAAAAGGTGGTCAATTGACCAGTCAATTGACCGTCCCATCCCTACTTGGGATTATTGTCATTATGTCATTTTTAAATGAGACTGTGAGGTTTCAGAAGAACCTGACTGGGTAGTGGGTTGGATTAAGTTTACTGTCATAATTATTAAAGAGCCAGGAAACAAATGCAGAATAAAGTCAAGAGTTCTGGCAGGGACAAAGGTAGGATGGATGGGAGATGTTGGGATTATGAATTTTTTAGATAGAGCATGCACACATAGCTCGTATTCATTATCTACCATGCTCTGATTCCTGTGAAAACCATGATTAACCCTTAACCAATTTGTTTCTTGGGGGGAATTTTTGACGAACACACATTGCTCTAAGGAAATTGCACTGTATTCTTTGCTCATGCATTTACTTGAAAATGTTTTGGCTTGAATCAAAATTGGAGAGAGCAGAGAATGTTTTCTTATGAAAAAAAAAGTGGACATATTGCCCATGAACCTAATGGTACAGAATTAGTTTTCTTGGTCGATGCTTAAAGGAAAAAATGGTGACAATCAACTTTAATAGTCTATTGTTGAGTTTTAAGGATGAAGAGACAGGTCTTTGGGCACAGGCATATGGGGGAATCTCAGTCCTTTAATATTGTGTCTATGGAAAAATTATAAGTAATCAGGCCCACATGCATAATAAATAGTGACCTTCTTGGGCCCTACTTGAAGATACTCCACATAATTTGGGATGCTTGATTGATTTGTTAGGGAAATTAATCCATAAATCTCATAAAGTCATTCTGGCTCAGGAGATTTGCTTCCAGCATTAAATCATTCTTTATTTCTTTCATTCTCCCTGTTATGACAATCCTCTCCAGGCTGGGAATCCCATTTGCACCACTGTCTATTCCCATCCCATTTATGTGGAACCATCAACATCTTGAATGACAAATTTCAATGTAATTTTTGGAAAATTACATTGAAAATTACATCTACGCTCATTGGATGTGACACCAGGTGACTCAGAAGTTCCTGACTTTACACAATTATGGATGAAACTCTATGAAAGGCATCTTTAGGAAATGCATTAGGTGTCACATCTGCAGGTCATTTCCCAAAATATTTCTGGAAAAGGACCAATTCTGCTGAAATATTCATGGTATCACCTACTCATGTTGTGCCACCCCATGAACATTTCCTTTCATTATCATCTATTGTTTTCCCAGTGTAGGCTTCTAAATTATTAACTTTTTGGGCCACCAAGTATTCAGGGTAACCCAACTCATGAATTTCAATGGATTCAGAATGAGGAGGCATAAAGAGCAGAAGCAACTTGTTCTTATTTGCCTGTGACAATTTGTGCCATGTTCTGTGTACACCTCATCCCACATTGAATGGAACTCATTCCTGTGTGAACTTGCATTCCCAATTCATCACTTCATCATTAGATATGATATGTAACATGGTATTAAGTGTAGTGAAATAACTGTATAGGTCCCCAAGCTAAATAAATGCTTTAGAGAAGGCCAATGCTAAGATAATGCCAGCCTCCAATGATGAGAAAGGTCTTCATTACCTTTATGACTCATGACTCAAGACACAGCAGTGGAGGGTTCTCTCTGGAAGAGCCAATGATATAGAGGGATTCTACATGGGAAGTATGGCTTAAATTGTTCTGAAGTCCCTCTGCTTTCTACATGGCATCATTCTTTTATATCCTTACAGATGGAATTTCAAAACCATGTAACTGTACTTTCCAGCTCTGCATGAGTCAAATATAAAGCCCATTCTACATTACATGTAGGAAAAATCAGCCATTATGTCATTTGACATTTATATTGGATTTCTCTATGGAAAAGCAGTTAAGGGTTAAGGAAGAATATGCCAAGGAATAAGCTGCACAATAGAAAAACAAAAATAAATTGATAAAACACAATTTCATATTTTAAATTATGACTTATTGCCAGCCATGAATGCAGCCTACTGATATGGAATGAATGGATATAGCTAACAGCCTTGAGCTCAACAACTGAAATTCAAATGCGAAATTTTGCTTAGAAATGTAATGTATGAAGTGGGACTGTACCAATGCATTGGCAACTACCAATATTGACTGCTGGTGCCAATGCCCAATGAAGAACATCCTGAACAAGGAAAAAGAAGAAAAATAAACCAAGAACATGGCTTAGGAAATGATTCTCAAAGGCAATAGGATAAAGGTAAGCCTGTCCTGATGTATTTATGTCATTTTCAATAGCTGAAGGCACCATTGGCTTTATTACCTGTCACGATCACACACCCCCAATCCCCAATCATAGATGAGGGTTGATGAAAGATGGAAAGAGGTCTGAACTCCGATTGAGGCAAGAAACAACGCAAGTCAAACCTCTACTAGATAGCAATGAGAAAGGGCTAAATACCCCTATAACTGCTCCCCCCCCTCCCTGGTGCATCCATGCACTATCAATAGTTCAGGTTGATATATCAATGCTTTCAAAACAGCCATCATTATAGCCCTAATAAAAACTGAACATGGTTTTCTAGTAGGTAATATTTTATATCATGGTTCCACCCTCCTTCTCTAGATGGCGCCATCAGCATCAGCACTGATAGGCATGAGATCATAATCAGCCCATTTGTCAAATGTGACCACAGGTACAGCCTTAGTATAAAACAATGAATATGTTTCTATTGGAATCCATACTCACTGGTTAATGAATATTTTCCTGAAACTGCTGAGAAGCTCCATTGGTGTTCTAAGCATTCAATTATTCTTTCAACAATTAGGGTGATTTTTTTAAATGCCATGCTGAGAGCACAAGTATGCACAGAGTAGATGTATGCATGCTTATAATCTTAAAGTCATGACTGCAGAATATCTTCCACAAGTGAAAATCTTGATAATAAATGATTCTAAAATATTAGGAACATCTGTTTTACTAAATACAGGGTGTCCATGAAGTCCCCAACTAATTTGCAGAAATAATGATAATTTGATGTTGCAAGAATATTGATTGATAATGTTGAGTCTTCATGAACATGTGGCAGTGGTTTCACTCCAAGGCAAGCCATGCATTAAGATCAGAGAACTGTTTCAAAGATTGAACAAACCTGGACCCACCGACAAAGCAATTCTTGAATTGCTAATTGAATTTAAATGGACAGAATCTGTCATGGTGGATGATCTGGCCATCCATGTACTTCCCTGGTAACAGTGGAATTGGTAAGAGAAGCTTTTAAATGTAATCCTAAATCATCAGTCAGCCATGCATCACATAAACTGAATTAAGCCAAATCAACTCTTCACGATTTCAAAGTTACTCTAAAGATAAGAGCATATCACATTCAAATGCTTCATGATTTATAAGTAGAGGATTATGCTGCATGAGTTGCATTGTGCGTTGATATGGTCGAACAAATTAAGATGGAGGATTTATTGGATCACATTCTCTTAAGTGATGAAGCTACTTTACAAAAGTGGCACCGTGGACCATCTGCATGGGACACTGGATGTTGCATGTGCACTTGAATCCAGGGCATGGAAAGGCATTCTGATATAGTATGTGATGTTAAGGAGATTCTCCAGTTAGCCATGATCAAAAATTATCTGTGAACCCAAATTCATGCCCACCTCTGCATTTTGTTGGTCCAATTTTCTTTTCTTGAGTTCAGGTTCCTCAGCAGAGCTGATGTAGGCAATTACCTCTGTCTGCTTCATCTCCTCTGTGCATTCACAAGATGAATCTGAACTGGATTCTTCTAAGACTTCAATCTGTTTGCTCTTTTGGAGGAAACATAAAGCATACATATATAGTTGCATTCCTCTTCACAAAAATTCATGCATAATTCATAGGCTTATGACATTTTCAGTATATAGCATAAGTTCTTGCTGGCTGACCATTTCTATCTCTCATATGTATAACTTCAATTTCTCATATTGCTTCTTAATCATACACTGAATGAATTTTGTGGCAAAGAATTCCAAGCATTTTCAGGAAAATAATGATTTTCATGCATCCCAACCTCAAACAACATCTGCAATGTCACAGCCCAGAATTTTCCAAGGAGTAAGTCTCTTACTAAAATATGTCATATGGTAGGCCTAGTATTAACCCTACTATAGGGAATGGAAAGGCTTACTTCTTGGACTATCTGTGTTGTGCACTTGCTAGCCTCATTTGCTTTCATCACATTCACAAGTGCCTTCAATTTTGACGCTTTCTTGGCTTTGCGAGCTTCCTTACGATTCGTCCTCTTTGGGCGTCCCATTCAGCTTAATTCTAGCATTAACTTGGACTCTAATTACATATATTAATGGGATTGGTATAGCGGAGGAATCTGGCGAAGTGCAATCACTCTTAGTGGATGCAGCTTTAGCCACATTTGGAGAGCTTACCCACAAGACTAACAGTAAAAAAAGGGCAATAACGTTATAATCTAACGTTAGGCTGTGCTGAAGCAGCTAGTAAAGGTTGTATGAAACCATTCAAGAACCGGCTTTGCCTTTTTGTCGTTTTCAGAATTCGCAACCCTAGAACACGTGGACAGCAGATCAGGATGAACTCATTTTCTTTACAGCGATGCCATCAAGTTTTCTGCCCATAGCTAATTTCTCGCTTCAGCGCGATGTCTGTAGGTATTAAACTTTTATGAATATAAGTGAAATGACAACATTTTGCTACATAATTTCTAGGTGAAATCTGTGGATGCTTTTAAAATGTGAATACATATTAAGAATGCGAGAGAATGTTGCTAAATATGAACGCGCGACGAGCATCACTGGCGGGGCAATGTCTTCTTCCATTGAATGGACAATTATTCAAGCTATTCATTGGCGAAACGAGTAGAACGCAGCTTGCATCACATTTCCGGAGTGTAAATCACCAGCTGCAGTAAGACTATGGCGAAAAACAGCAAGGCATTATAGGCTTAGCTCAGGAAGACAGGAGGGCTCATTGCAGCCCAATGAGAGTGGCAATGGAAGGGAACGGGAATAACGATGCCTTGAGCAGCTCCTTCCTCCAAGATGCCCAGTACATTGTCCACGAATCCGAAGGTCAGTCTGTCCATCCTTTAGACCAGTTCCCATGCGTAATTGTGGTTGAATATATTCTTTCTTTCGCCGTGACAGAGAATGGGTCTCACGATGGCATGGTCCAGGACGACCAAGATGACTCAAATCAAGGCGGCAAGAGTCAAGAGCCACTGAGGGAACAGGATCGCTTTTTACCCATTGCTAATGTGGCCAAGATCATGAAAAAATCCATTCCCAAAACAGGGAAGGTTAGTTTACAGTCATGCAGACCTGTCTCCGTTTGTGGATTTTTTTATTTTTATTATTTTCCAAGGACTATGAACGAAGAGAGCATACAGATCTTAGACGATGACCAGACTTGCCAAAGTTATATAGCATTAAGAATCGACCCAGGAAATCAAGAACATAGCCTCTCAAGGTGCCCATAAAGCTTTCTTGCTCTGTAATTCTGGTCCATTTGATGCATTTACTGTAACTTGGTGTCACACAATACTTCATACTTGCAACGTTTCACCTTTATACACAAGAAATTTAAAACAAGGAGAATCCTTTAATCTGCTCTCTACAAAAGACAATTTCTGGCCTGCAGTTTACAGTAGAGCAAAGGACACCTCATTGTACCTTCATTCTTGCCTTTTGTTGCCTAAGTCCCCAGATCCCTGCTTCCATATTGCTCCAACATATGAACTGCTCGTGCATGTAGAACTGTTTTTTTTTTTGTGCCTCATACTGACATAAATTATGCATTTATCCTTTTCCAGCCCTAAATTTAAAAATACAGATATATCACCAAATTGCCTTTTTTTTAAAAGGCAAATGAAGCAACATGAGTCATTATTTATCTTTATTATTAATTCCCTTTTTCAACTTCATTAATGAATGCACAGGGATATTGCTTCTTGGATAAACACGATGAGGACTGGATAGCTAAATCAATTTTATAGTTCTCTTAATCCAAGTGGAGTGACGAATCCAGCGACTGCTAGCCAGATGTAAGAAGGCAACAGTAAAATAGGCAAAGAGGCCAATGTGTTGAGTGACTCATCAGAGGATCAGGCTTATCAGTTTTTATGCATGCATTATTAGTATTCTCTTGTAGTTTATGGGATGAATGTATGTGTAGTTATGTCAGTTGAAATGGAAGGAGCACCCTCTAGTAATTAGCATCCTAAATGATTATATGGTTACCATCATTGGCTCTGGTATTCCAGCAGTTGTCTTTTGAAGAATTAACTGATTAGAAGTAGTATGAAACTTGAGTCTGAGACTACTGCGAAGGATATGTTTTGGCCTACACATGTATACTGGAATAAAAAAGCAACCTGGTTAGTGTACCAGCAGATCTGCACTGTTGAACAGATTTGGGTTGAAATGAATGCAGGACCTGTTCTGATCGGGAAGCATATGATTGATATTTCAGATTGCCAAGGATGCAAGAGAATGTGTCCAAGAATGTGTGTCCGAGTTCATCAGCTTCATCACGAGTGAGGCCAGTGATCGGTGCCACCAAGAGAAAAGAAAGACCATCAATGGAGAGGACATCCTCTTTGCCATGTCAACTCTGGGCTTTGACAATTATGTTGAACCCTTGAAACTCTACCTCCAGAAGTACAGGGAAGCCATGAAGGGAGAAAAGGCACTTGGCATGCCTGATGGTTATGATGACATGTCAGAAGAGGCTTCTGGCTTCTGTGAGTTCAAGTTTTGAAGTCTGTTCCTTCTAGAGTGATACCTGTTCAAGGAAAGACTATGCTTCCTGTCCCTTTTCCACCTTATTGCCAGGTTAATGGCATGTCTCTAAAAACCTTAGTGAACCCAATTCTCATATGAAATGTAATGAACCTTCATTGAGGTTAGGTGAGCAACCACTGGGAAAGATGGGACCATACCAATTTAAGGAGCAAAGTGTTTTCTCTTGGAAAGGTGTATTTCTTACTGTGTAGTGGATGTGGATTGGGCATAAGAATTTCTCTTTCCTTTGCAGCTCCTCATATTCTGACCACTAACGATGGCCAAACCCAGGTGGTCTACTATCAGCAATACCAGCTAAGTTGAAGACTCCCATGAAGACTTTGTTTTGGTATTGGAATGTTTGCAGAACTTTGGTGAAAGGATACATGGTTAGTGTGAATGACACAGTGTGAAGGCAGATGCATTTTAGACTTGTTTTTCACATGTCTTTGTGAAGTCACTTGAGTACAAATGAACAGCTGGAAGGCAATACTATTCATTTCAATCAGAACAATAATTCAAAATTCATTCCCATCTTCAAGGAACACTGACAGTCAAAACTGAGATGACATTCCATTTTCATATCTGTTTTGACTAGCATGATTCTAACAGGGATATCAGGCCACTGTTTCACTTGCAGGTCATGGACAGTTGTAGCTGTAAACTACAACTCATCTACATGCAAATAAATATGGAAAAAGAAGACAATGGAAATAAAAAAGTGGCCCTTATCTACATGCAAATCAACTTCTAATATCCATGCTGTCAGACTACATTGTAAAATAAAAGAGGGAGTATATAAGGGCATTTTCATATATTTTGAGGAAATATTTGCAGTTAATTGAAGTACAAAGACTCCACATATTGCTTCCTCAATAATAAAATGAACCAAAATATCCTATTCCAATAATTTAGAGGATACCTGCACAACCACAATTTCCTAGCTACAACATTTTTGTCATTACTAGGTCACTATTGAAACCTCACAGTACAAAAGGATAACTCAGACACGAAAAAATTTGAAAGAATTACGTGCAAAATACCTGTAAACAGCACCATCAGTTAATTATTGACATATTGCAATACTAATACATAAACCATCCCTGACGAACCAAGATGAAACTCTTGATTTTTTTCAAAGTTTTATACAGTGCAGTACAACTTCATGTATTGAGCGAGTGAATGCAAGAGGACCTTATATACCCCCTTTAATGTGACAAAATGCTAGATTTCTGACCATAACAGTTGTAGAGGAACTTTAGAAAAGTTCACCAGAGTTCCATATAGACGCGTCTGAGGCAAATCCTGGAACAGACAAGTTCCCATCGCCCTGCTAGAGGCATCATCTGGTGTAAGAGATGGAAATCAGATGTTAAAAAGTTCCTCTATTCTCTATGTCAAGTGGTGGATCTCCATTATTCAGGAAAGTAGGGCCACTTTGTTATTCAGAGATTGGCATTTTCTTCCTAAGATCAAGAGGAAGAAGGCCAATATAGACAAGAAATCCATCAAGGTGGGTGAGACTTGAAGAATGGAAAGTGAAAGAAGAAGATGGAGTTCATGCTGGGGGTCAATACCCATCAGCCCATAGGTAGGGATGATTGCTGAGGAATAGGCAATAGAATATGCAGTGGGCCAGGGGATGAACAATTCATACATTATGAAATGATTTGTCATTCAAATGCAGTGGTTTTTTTCTCAGGAAAGGGCATGATGGAAATGCACTATGAAGCAGTTACGGATACAAGAGCACATATTAATTTCACTACATCACAAAATAAAAAACTTCTATGCACTATAAAACTACAGCAGTAACAGAAACCTAGAGAATATAATTTTTAAGTTACTTTTCTAGAGCGAGGTCCTTCATGCGGTTTAATGCAGAGCCGGCATAGAACCACTCGATCTGCTGCTTGTTCATGGAATGGTTCAATTGAATCCTCTCCATGCTCCCATCTTCATGCTTGATCTCACAGCTTACAGGCTGCAGGTACAGACTCATGAAAAATCCTGTCCAAAACAAGTCAGAGACACGATGAGAATGACTCACCTTCCCAGGCTGGAGTTTATGAAGGCCTATGAGGGAGATGCGATCAGAAGGTTTGATCTTGTCATAGTCATGGGGATCGGCAAATGTGAGGGGAAGGAGACCTTGTTTCTTGAGATTGGTCTCATGGATGCGAGCAAAGCTCTTGACAATTATGGCCCTTCCTCCTAGGTGGCGGGGTTCCAGGGCTGCATGTTCCCGGCTGCTACCCTCCCCTGAACCACCCAGGATTGAATCATTTTTCAGACAATCTACATACTTTCACCATCTGAATGGCAGAATCCCAAGGGAACTCACCATAGTTATCATCACCAACAACACACCATGTGATTCCTTTGGCTTTGTATTTACGTGCAATTTCTGGCACAGGGCCCCATTCTCCAGTTACCTGGCTCTTGACCTTGTTGGCTTCCCCATTTTCTTCATTGATAGCCCTAGAGTGGGAAAAACAATTAATCTAACTGATAGCTTATGATTATCAAGGAGACTCCATGCTGATCATTACCCAATGAAAGCATTATTGGAGATGTTGTCCAGATGTCCTCGATACTTGAGCCAAGGACCTGCTGCTGAGATGTGATCGGTGGTGCATTTCCCTTTCACCTGAATATTAAAAAAATTTCTCATCTGTCCTATCAATGACAACTTCAAAATTAAAGCTAGAGTTTAAACACTACAAGCCAACCTTGATGAGAATGGGCATGTCTTTCAGATCGTCTCCTACAAATCGATCAAAGGGCTGAAGGAGTTGCAGACGTTGTGAATTGGGGTCAACATCAACATGGAGTTTTGACCCATCTGGAGGGGGTGCCTGATAGGTGTCTGCTCCAGGATCAAATCCCTTTGATGGTAGCTCATCTCCATATGGTGATTCCAGGAGAAATTCATGCCCTTTAGTAGTAGACAGGTAATTCAATATCTCAGAAGAACTTGCCAATAGGAACTCATCAAATAAGATAGATTTGGATATCTATATGGGAGTGTCAACTGACCATCCTTGTCGAAGAGCTTGTCCTTGCGGGGATCAAAGTCTAATCTGCCTTTGACAGCCAAGGCTGTCACCATTTCAGGTGAGGTCACAAATGCATGAGTGGCTGGATTGGCATCATTTCTTCCAGTGAAGTTCCTGTTGTATGATGACACAATTGTATTCTTCTCACCCTTTTTCACATCTTTTCGATCCCACTGCCCAATGCATGGACCACATGCATTGGCAAGCACTGTTCCACCAAAGTCTCTCAGGATTTGGGCCTGAAATGAAGAATAACCCTTATCCCTTCATAAAACATCTTTACATCAATCTTGAGTTGCAGGGGAGGAACAGACGATGGAATCCCGCTCAATTGTAGCCCGAATTTGCTCTGATCCTGGGGTGACAGTGAAAGGTATGGAAGACTTGAGTCCATGGCTGAGGACCTGCTTGGCAATGCTAGCACATCTTGTCATGTCCTCATAACTGCTGTTTGTGCAGCTCCCAATCAGTCCTAGACAACAAACGATTGTGAAGTGGAACCAAAGCGCAAGTACTGCTTCTTGAGGAGCATCAAATCACAACTCACCAACTCTGATGTCCAGGGGCCAATCCCTCTTCTTGGCTCGCTCACCCAGTTTGTGAATGGGATGAGCAAGATCTGGTGTGAAGGGCCCATTTACATGTGGCTCCAACTCCGTCAAGTTGACGGCAATCACCTAAGTGACCGAACCAATCACATATACTCAGAGCTCAGATCATGAAAAAGGGTTTGGATTCAAATAATCAAACCTGATCATATGGAGCATCGTGATCAGCATTTAGGAGCTCCTTGTATTGATCAGCCATGTCTCCAATATCCTTTCTTCCTGTTGCAGCAAGATAAGACTTCATTCTGCTGTTGTATGGGAAGATTGATGTCGTGGCTCCAATCTCTGCACCCATGTTGCAGATTGTTGCCATTCCTGGAAAGAAACACATTCTCTCATGTATACTGTTCCTTTTATTGGTTGGCTCATTTTATGTGGAAAAAACTGTTCTATCCCATTGTAATTTGTGGCATGTTAACACAAATGAGTCTCACCAAATTCATAAATTTATTAAGAGATGGCATGAAGACCAACAAACTGGTTCAAATGGAAGCAAATAAATAGGTTAGTCTTGATTAGGGCACTGGTATGCACTAGCTCAGTAGTTTTTCAAGGATACAGAGGAAGAGCAGGGAAGGAAGAGAGGGCTGACAATAAAAATTATAGGTACCAGAAGAGAACATTAGGAAAGAGAGGGTGTCTTTTCACTGAAGTCACATGTTTTATGCACAGTAATTAAGAAACAAGGGGATTCATCAATTCACTTAGGGAAGGGAAATTTAGTCACCTATTTTCAGTACAATCTTTCCTATTTGAATGGATGAGGGAGAGGAGCAGAAGAGAAAGGATCCATATCATGCATACCTGCTACATAGTAACACTCACAGGTTTACCATCACTGCTTCCATTTCCTTGCTCTGAACCAGTCTTGTGGCCTCAGAGTTGATTAACAGCAGCATCTCGATCAACATATACCCAATGTGTTTAGTGGTCATCTGCATATACCTTGCATAAGCAGGCACTTGCTTCTAGAAGCACATGTAGAGGCATAGGTTGAAAGGGGTCAATGTTAATCAATGGGAGTGGAAAGGGGATTAGACATCATGGTGTTCGAAAATGAAACAAAAATTACTGTCTCCCTCTCCAAGATGCAATTAGGGTGCCAATATTAAATAGATAGGAATGTTGCCAAAAGCCTACATCAGCTGTGTAGAAGGGTGCAAATGCATGTAGTATGAGACAGTTTTTGCGATGTGGCAATAATATTGATACATGAAGATGTTATTGATTATTGAAGAACATGAAGTTGGATTGATAACATACCATAATACCTTGGTTTGAGCAGAAAGTAAATTTGTCATTTCTATAAAATATGAAAAAAAAGGAACTTCCTAGCCTAACAGGGGAGAGAAAGTTCATATTAAAATTGGAATTTAAAATTATTTTACAAAATTGCTATTTCCTTTCCTTTTTTATTCATGGGAAAGGGATAAGATTTGCAAGCTTTGAAGCGGCTACATTTTAAAATACCAAATACAGATTCTTATTGATAAATATAAACATTTAGCAAGAAACAACTAAAGAAGCTTACCAGTGCAGGAGATGGAGTCTAAACCATCTCCAAAATATTCAACTATGGCACCAGTGCCTCCTTTCACAGTCAAGATGTCAGCCACTTTCAAGATCACATCCTTGGGTGCTGTCCAGCCACTAAGCTTCCCTGTCAGGTGCACACCTATAACCTATGGAAAATGTGGTACAAATTCAGTATCATGCTACAAAACATAATTTCAAAGACAATGGTGATTTCTCTAAGTTCATGTAACATAACCTTCTCACATCAGACATCATCCAGTACAGCACATTCTTGTCCAATACTTTTCTCCTTAGTGCTGTAGGCTTCTGCTTCGTCACTACTGCAGCATCTAAGAATGGCATCTGAGGAAAATGCATGCAAAGAGAAAATATTTTTGGATGGAGCTCAACTGACCTTTGGGCACTTGAGTTCCCAGGGGAGATCAGCCATGACGTCCACGGCATCGGCTCCGCCGACTCCGATGCACAGGCCTCCCAAGCCTCCACCATTTGGTGTATGAGAATCTGTTCCAATCATGAGGAGTCCTGGGAAGGCATAATTCTCCAAGATGATCTGTGAGTGAATATTGCATCAGTAATCCTTCGCCCACCGAAAGGACAGCCCAGTTCTGAATTCCTGGGACTCACCTGATGAATGATACCTGACCCAGGTTTCCAAAACCCAAGACCATATTTGGCAGCTCCAGTACTGAGGAAATTGTAGACTTCTTTATGCAATTCCTTTGCTCTTGCTAGGTCCTGCTCCCCTCCAACCTATGAATATCACAATAAAAAAATGCATATTCTAAATCAGGCCAAAAACTTATCCAGAAAGAAGACTCTCCAATTCCAAGGTACCTGAGCTTCAATGAGGTGATCACAGTGAATGGTAGAAGGCACAGCCACCCTGGGAAGACCTGATGAAATGAACTGCAGCATTGCCATTTGGGCAGTTGCATCCTATGAGTCAAAGCAACAATGTGCAATCACTTGTCACAGAAAACGAATAAAAAAGCATTCAGTTGGCTAGAGCCACAAGTTTCCAACCTGCATTGCAACTCTGTCTGGGCGTAGCCTCAAGTAACTCTGTCCTCGTTCGATCTCTTGACTGGCTGGATCGTCCAAGTGAGAGTAGAGAACTTTCTCTGACAATGTCAAGGGCCTGTCCAACCTTTCATTGAAGAGGACACAAACATTTTACTCTTGTACCTGAAGACTTCAACTTTGGCCTACACCAAGGCCTCCTCTATAACGTACCTCTTCTTGACGACTTCCAGGTTTTTCATAAGTTTCTCGTAGGGCAAGTAAGACGAGTGGTCAAACTTGCTCATGGCCACTTTCTTTGCAGCAGAAGCCAAGGGTGACAAATGAAAACATTTTTGTTGGATGATCTGCAGCTTCTGCTGACAGACTTGACCCTAATAGAAAAGAAAATAATGTAAATCCATGGTCTAAAGTAGCCACAGAACCATTTAACAACTTTGGATTTCCTTTGTACTCTTCTACGAAAGTAACCTCATCCAGTCCTTCAGAAGGAGGTCGTTGGATCTAATTAGTCCATTCAAATATGAACTAAGTCCTTCCGAATTCACTGAAATTACATCATATTAGGCCTATTCGCATCCTCACTTACCCGGAGCAGGCCCACGCCCAGGGGGCGATGTAATAAAGTCCTCATATTTGCCAGCAATCCAAAATTCCGCGACTTGGAAGAACCCTCACGAGATCCAGGCCATACACATCAGCTGCCTTAGCAGCAACAGCGACATCTGACTATACAGCAGGGAAGCAAGGCTCGATGCCTATTTTTAAGGCCTGCGATTGGTTGAGATGTCGCCGTCGTCTGCTTCACAAAGGTGTCTGCGCTTACTGTACCACGTGGGGATATGATATATCTGCCTCGGTGACTTGAGTCACCTTGGAGCCCTAGACGTACGTTCCATTTGGCTGAAGAAGTTGCCTCTTGTCCATAACAATGGAAAGTGAGAGGAAGAGGATCTTCACCATTCTCTACGGCAGTCAGACGGGGACTGCGCAGGATGTTGCAGAAAGAGTTGGAAGAGATGCAGTGAGGTAGGCGAAGGCGCTATAATTATGTAATTAGCCTAAGCCCTGATTCAATAATGGCCGGGAGACTCAAGGAAAGCCCTGTACAGGGATTCTCTATTGATTCCCCCCCCCCCCTTAATTGTAAGAGAAGTAGGAAATACTTATTTTATTCCATTGTCATTTATCTACCAATGGCCTATTATTTTGAGAAGGTTGATTTCGTTCAAGTTGAATGACGAGTCGCAATTAAGGAGGTAGAGGGGTGCAATCAGTTGGAAAGCCCTGGAAGTAAATTTGAGATTGAACTGATTTCTCAGAAACATCGCAATCTCTGGTGTTGAAATCTCCAGCACTTTCAAGGCCCAAGTAAATAAAGAGATGATGTTCAGCAAACCAAACCATGAACATGAAAATATCAATAAATATATCTGCATTTTCTTAAAAAGTGAACATAAGGAATGAAGCATGTTAACTACAATAGGAATTCAGCAGACCTGACAGTTTTAAACACTTCCAGGATGCAATTTGAGTCACACGTGAAGCCCATGGATGACTACGATGTGTCCGATCTTCCCGACGAGAGCCTCATGCTGTTTGTGTGTGCCACAACTGGACAGGGAGAAGAGCCTGATAACATGAAGAAGTTCTGGTCGTTCCTACTGAGGAAATCTCTACCTGCAAATTCCTTGAGTGGGATGAACTATGGAGTCCTTGGTCTTGGGGATTCATCTTACCAGAAGTTCAACTTTGTTGCCAAGCGCCTTCACAAGAGATTGCATCAGCTTGGGGCAAGGTATGGCATTCTGTCTGCTCTGAATTCCATTCTGACAAGTCGTTAAACTGCATTTCTTTTCAATGCGATGGATGCCGATTGCACAGGCCGCTCTTACCAGTAGGATTGGCAGATGATCAGCATGATCTGGGACCAGATGCTGTCACTGTGCCATTTTTGGAGAGCTTCTACATGAAAGTCTTGGATGTATCACCCTTGCCACCTGGAGTCAAGGTCATTGACTCATCCATCCTCCTCCCTCCAAAGTATGAAGTGAAAGTATTGGAGGGTGGCTTGCCGGATCAAGTGCAGAATGCAACAAGAAATGTATCAGATATTTATGACCTCAAGAACCCATGGTTTGCAGAAGTGATCCACAACAAACGGGTAACTGCTACCGATCACTGGCAGGACGTGCGACTGATTTCCTTCAACATTGAAAAATCTTTCATCTCTTATGTACCTGGCGATGTGGCCATGATCATGCCAAAAAATTCTCCCAATGATGTTCAAGAAATCCTGGACACTCTAGAGCTGAATGGCGAGACGGTGATATCGATCCACGAGAGAAATCCCAATGCACCTCTGCCCCCTGAATCAATCCTGCCCAGTAGATGCTCCTTGTGGCAGTGCTTCCAAGACTACCTTGACATCAAGTCTGTCCCAAAAAGGTGGGTGTGATCTATAGGGTGGCCTGTGTAAAAGTGGCCCCAGCCTGCCACTTTGTGATGCAGAATTTATGTACTTAGCAATTAAAGCAGGTGCTGAGAATGGTGCCCAAATGGACAACATGTCTTGTCTTCTCATGTCTATGAAGTTGACTTAAAAGGAAAATCTGTTTATGGCAGGTTTATGGAAAGAACAGGCTCATGTGATTGGTCATCCAGTGGGTGGTAACATGTGTGGAGGGAGGACAGCCTAGATGTTTTTATTTCTAACTCTGTCACTTTTACATGGGCCACCATATCTTTAGTCCATTGGAGACCACTTTTTTTTAGATGTGCCATTTTCTTGTGTCTTTTCAGATACTTCTTTGAACTGTTGAGTAAGTTCACCCCAAACGAGCTGGAGCGCGAGAGGCTTCAAGAGTTCTGCTCTCCCGAGGGAGCAAACGACGTGCTGGATTACTGCATCAGACCGAAACGCTCCATCGTGGAAGCCTTGCAGGATTTCCCTCATGCTACTCAGGCCATCCCACTGGAATATTTGTTTGATCTCATTCCCTCCATGAAGCCTCGAGCTTTCTCCATTGCCTCTTCGCCCAAGGTTTACCTCTTGCTTGCAGATTCCTAAGATATATGATCAAGTTTACTGCAAAAGAAGTGCATTATTCCCATGCAGGCTCATCCAGGGCAACTGCAGGTCCTCGTTGCAGTTGTACAGTATCGCACCAAGATCAAAAAGCCCCGGCTTGGTGTCTGTTCCAATTATCTGGCAGGGCTGAAACAAGGAGACAAGGTTGTGTTGTGGGTGCGAAAGGGAACACTTCGATTCCCCAAACAGCCTTCAGTGAGGGCAACATTTGTTTCTTTGGGGGGCTATAAAACTTCTTGATGTTTAAAGGTGTTGTTGGTTGATGTGGTGTTGGTGTTTCAGGACTTGCCAGTGGTGATGATAGGACCAGGAACAGGAGTGGCTCCTTTTCACTCTTACATCTTGGACGAATTCCATGACGATGCCAAAAGACACGCAAAGAATGGAGAACCGGGTCGTCTGCTCCTGTTCTTTGGAAGCCGTAATCGAGACAAGGATTACTTCTTTCAGCCTGAGTATGAGCACATGATGAAATCAAGCCCCATGCTGAAAGTCATCACTGCCTTTTCCAGAGATCAGGACCAAAAAATGTAAGAAGCATTAAAGGAATCATCATTTGAGATTCAGGTGCATGAATCCTTGCACAGAAAAAGCCCTAAAATATATTTTCCCCCAGATACGTCCAACATCGTCTGCGAGAGCATTCGGCTCTGGTGTGGGACGCCGTCGACCGCGACGCCTTAATCTGCATCGCCGGCAACTCAAAGCAGATGCCCGAAGCCGTTCGGGAAGCCATCAGAGACGCCATAAAGGAAAACGGAGGCATGACCGAAGAGGATGCATCCGCATATCTCGCGAGACTTGAAGCTCGTGGAAGACTTCAAATGGAAACTTGGTCCTGATGCATCTCGAGTTAGTGCTCGTTAGTTCTCATTGCCAATGGTGATAGGATATTTAAACATTTTTTTTCAATAAAGACAGGACTGTGGTTTTGTCCCTGGTGCAGTTAATTGTTAGACTGCAAGATCTGAAGAGAGCATCTAAGTCACCACTTCTCCTGGGCCGACACCGATGCAGATGTTTTTTTTTTTTCATGAGCAATAAGTCGTGCATGCCAAAGAGGCTGATACATTGACAAGTCCCTCTGTCGGTGAGCATGAATTGTTTACTTTATCTTGTTGAATAATAAACTGTGACTCCCTTAGCATGCCATTATTCCAGGTGTTTTGTGGATTGAGTCTCCACAAAGTGCATCGAACTTAGATGAGGCCCACGTTTAGTGCCGATTATGCCAATAGGGCCTCGTTTCTCCCGTCTTGAATTGTGATGCAAAATATTACATTCATCATACTGCTTACATTTAAAATTTGGTATGCAACTCGTTACCGTGAGACAGACGAGACCGCAATGTGCGGTACCAACCAGACGGCATGAGACAGGGCTTTAGCCTCTCCCTAAGGTCTTGAAGGAGGGAGGGGTAGGTCAACCCTAAAAACTAGATTTTAACTGTTGTAGCTCTCGGAATGCATATTGTAAAACCATGACATAAACAATGTATCGAGAGCAGAAGCTCTCCAAGCGAAGGGAATCCCATAGATTCAATAGCATTTCTCCTTACCCCCCCCTCCCCCATTCTCCACACCAGCAAGAAGCCATCGACCGGTAGATTCAGAAGACCTTGAAGCAAACCCGAGCGCCTGACCCCCATATACCACCCCTCCCCCATCGCCTCAGCTTCGCATTTCGTCGGTTGCCATGCGAGGAGGAGGAACGCGTTTCGCTCCGCTGTGAAGGTCGATTGGGACCGAAGACCATCGATCACCGCTCACCTGCTTCTCCGATTTCGAGAGCGTTTGCAGAAGGATCGAACAAATACGGCGATGGACGCAAGCAGTGGCGGCTCGTCAGGGTAGGCAGTTTACGATCAGAGTTCTCAAACTATTATATATAATCTTCGATTACCATAGCTGAAAAGACTTTACAAGGTAAAAACAGAGTTTGATTACGCGTCCAGAGTGGGCACGGCGTCTCCAGCCTACGTTAGTTAGGCTCAAATCCCCACGAATGCAGGGACAAGAGCCGTTGTCCCGGAACGCGGCAGGGTAGGTTTAGCCTACGTTGCGTGGTTACTCCTTGCGCAGGAAGGGAAGGATGAGAATCGCTTGCTCACGCCCTCCGCTCGGAAGAATTTGCTCGTTGAAGCCTCGATTGTTGTCACTCATGATCGGACCTGCTCCACAGTGTTGCCATACGGACTGAATGGGAATTTAGACCTGCTCTACAGTGTTGCCATACGGACCGAACGAGGAATCATTCCGGACAGGTTTCTATCAGTCCCAGGGTCTCGGCTCCCCTTGCTCACCCCACTTTGTTTTTATTTTTGCTCTCTCCCAGAAGAAACACGGTTTCCCAGAGAAATGTATTAAGATGGTGATTTGCATCCCTGGGGTGTCGCTCAGTGGTATCATTTCATTCATCGAAGGCTTAAATCTTCCTAACTTTTCCTGTTGGGTGCAAGCAATTCCTTTGATGCCTAGTTCTGATTGTCAGAAATAGATTTACAATTATTGAATGCAAAAATCCTAAACTTTTTGTCAAGCCCGTAGCCAAGAAAGGGGGGGGGGGGGTTCTTTTCCTCCCTCCTCCACCTTCCCCCTCCTGTTCCACGTTCCCTTTGCCAAGTTTCCTAAGGAATCGGCTCTCCATCTATTGGCCTGCCTCTCCCGTGTCGAGTCAGCCCCAATAGGGATTTCACGAGCTTCTAATTCCTGCAATTCACCCTTTCTTTCGTCTGCACGTCAACACGCGAAGCAATTCCTGAAGGAATCGCACGCATGCACTCACGAACAAGTTAAACCGCATCGCGAAAACCATGGACACGAATCAACAGTCCACCATCTGCCACGAACGAAAACCTTCCAAAAAAAAAAAAAGAAGACCTTTCATCCACTCACGCGACCCAAGACCTCACCCCCAGTAAACCGGCGAAGCACTTCCAACCCGAACATCCCCACCAAGACCCCCAAGAAAACAAAACCACCCAGTGAAATCCCCCCAGAACACACTTTAAATTTCACCTCACCCACTCCACCATCCCCAAGAACCAAGAAACCCTCACCCCCCCCCCCCCCCCCCCCCCCCCCCCCCCCCCCCTCCTCCAATCGACCCGTCCCAGCGCCTCGCCCCTCCCGGCCTTGCAGTTGCCTTCAGTCGAGTATGCCGGGCGTGTGCTTGAGGAGCTTCTGCGGCTGTGCCTCTCTGAGGGAAGGGGTGCTGGGCATCTCTTCCCTCGCTCTCGTGAGCATCGCCTTTCCTAATCTCACTTATTCTATTATTTTGGCTTTCGACTGCGAAGAGTGGGAGGAAGGATTTTTTTGAGTGGTTTGAGGAACGCGATGGAACGTGAGGCGCTGTGTTTGCGTTGCGGTCTGGTTCCTCCTCCTTTTTTAATGTTTACTCTTCATTATTATTTTTAAAAATTAATAATGGAGTATTTATTAAATAATAAATAATTTGGGCTCCCTTGACTGGTTCGAGCCTTTCTTAAAATAATTTCCGCGGTTCTCTCCACCAAAATGAACGCTGACCTCGCCCTTGCCCACCCCGAACC